TGACCAAGGCCTCAGGAAGAAAACATTAAACTTTATTCCAAGACTTTTTAGGAGACCTGATAAATGGAGAGCTATGCCATAGTCATGAATCTGAGGACTCAATCCTGACACTGGTATACAGCATAGATAACCATAAATGCAGATATGCTAATGCACACACAGAAATACTAGATTACTATACTTATCAAAAAATAGATAACTTGATTCCATAATGTCTAGAAAAACACACAAGGGCCAAGGAATAGACAAAATTTTTGAGAAACAAATCGAGGAGAATTGGTCCTATGGTACTGAGCTTATTATAAAGCTATAGTAACAGAGGGCATATAGAAATTCCACCAAGCCAACTTAGAGGTAAGATAGAGCACACGGCACTAACTGTTGCTTAGGTGACAGGTCACTGGAGGAAGGGGGAACCCGTGCTTTGAGCAAGGCAGTTTGAATGTCAATGCTAACAAAAGCTACAAACTAAAAAACTGTAAACAGCAGAGGTTACTACTGCACACAAGCAGAGTTTACAGCAGCTATTGGGTCTACCTAGGTGCATGGCTACTTCAATTCAGTTAGAGCCCTGGTTAAAATCTATTCTGAAAAAGTGGGATGGAGACAGAACCTTGGAACAAAGGAAACCCTAACCTAACCACTATACTTGGGCTCAATTTTAAAATTTTACCTAAATCCTGATGTGAAAAAAAATCACATTTCCCCAAGTTGGTACAGAGTGATTCTGCCATATAGTAATCAAGTATCCAAGGGCAGTGAGAGAAAGAGAAGGAAAACTCTTAGCACACCTCACTTCCTCTGGAGGTATTTTGAGGTTAGAGGTTAGGAATCAAGTCTGGAGATGCTCAACATTCTTAATGTTGGGTGTAGAAGTTAAGACTATCTTCTTGACTCTAAGAACCCAGTAGTTATGACGACTGCCTGTGATTTTATGATGGATCTGGGGTAGGAGACCAGTTGGCCATTAAATACAAATGGGCAAACAACAAAGAACTGTGGTTGCAGAGGCAGGGGTGTCGCCCGTTAGAAAGGTTTTCTGAGGGTGAAGAGCATGCCTCCAGAAGCATGCGCTGCCTGCAGGTGATTTTATACTCACTCAGAGCCACTGTGAAGTTCCAAAGAATGGAACCAATAAGCAGAGAGAGAGGAGACAGACAATATGACACCTAGGCCTTCAGTACCACAGGTCCCCAAATGTGGTCCAAGAGGCAAGGAATTTGTGGGGACAGTGTCAAGCAAAGACCTCCAGTGTTTGTCACCTGACTTGCGCAAAGCATCTGTGATTCACAAAAGCCAAATTCTAATTCTTTCAACTTAAGGAATTCACTGCCTGTACTCTTACCTAGTCAAAGCCAGTAAATTTCTGACAGATTATGATGTACTCTGTAAGCTTTCTCGACTATACCTCATAGGAGGGGGATATCACCTTCTCTGAAAGCAACTGGATAGGACTTAAACATGAAGACACTGTCCTGAGCTTATCTGCCATTTACTTATAAGACTTGGATTCAGAAATTAACTCTGTATTCTCAAGGCTAGAACTGCCCTTAAAATAAAGGGAGGTGGAGATCTAGCCACAGGGTGTCTCAATTAAAACAAGAAGAGGCGAGCCTCTGAGGATCTTAGAACATTTATTTCTGTCTCTTGCCTGTGGGCATGCTTTGTGTTCTCCATGAAATCACAAAATTATTTTAAATTCCTGAGACTGTGTCTGTAAGTCCTGAGGGGCACTGGACATGACTGACTTCTGAGTCTGAGTGTGAAATTAATCCAAAGCAGCTTAATTCTTCCCTGAAGCATGTCTTCTATCTTGGAGCGCATTTGGGGCCTATTACTGGTTTTTTGCAATTATCTTTTTCAAGGAGGCTTTTTCCCCCCTGAGATGGGGTCTCCAGGCTGGCCTTGAACTTCCAATGCCCCTGACTCTACCTCCCAAGTGCTGGAATTAGAGCATGCTTAGCCCCTCAAAAGGCTTCTTCCTGAGGGAGCTCCTCTCCTGTACTTTCTCCTGTAATGAGTACTCCTCCACCCTCTGCAGTGGTTCGGGCCCCTCTCCACTCCTCTGCCTGTTCTTTACAGGGATGCTCACCTTTAAAAATTGATGTTGGTACCAATGATGGATTTGAACCCAAGATTTAACACACACACTCACACACACACACAGTTCACGAGCCAAATAGAGCAAAAACAAACAAACAAAACCACAACAACAAAAAACAAAACCACAGTGACTCTGAAAGCTACATGTCCTTCTGCAGCAACCCTTGGGGACCCTTGTCCTCAGTCCTGTGTCCCTGACTTGCTTCTGCATACGGCACCCTCTGTTTTTCCCTCCACTAGTGACTACTAATTTCCCTTCTGTGGTAATATCTTGCTTGTGGAAATAAAGCCTGTCTGAAGATCAAAGAATGGAGCTTGCCACTAATTAACCATAGAGGCCTGGAGGTCTGTACAGACAGACAGGAAGTGAGGTGGATGGGCAGAAACAAGAAATGAGATGGCTGGGCAGAGAGGATATAAGTAGGAAGAAACAGGAACTGGCTCTCTTGACTGCTGAGGCACTAAGGAAGTAAGGCATGGATGTGGCTTGCTCTTCTCTCTGGTCTTTATTTGTACAAGCAAGATATTATCACACAGTTCCTACAGCCATCAATTTGTCATTGATCCCACATACCAAAAGGGCCCATTTAACTTCTAGATTTTAAGTTTGTATTGTTAATGCTGTTTGGACAATAACGTCACCCACTAATAAATCCAAATAAGAACCTGGCAACTTCTCTTTCAGACTTGAGCCTTACAGAATCCTCTAACATGGAATGGCTACCTTTGACCACCCCACCCCAACTATCTTCTTCTCTTCCCCTTCCCCCTTCTCTCTGGTCAGAGCAGCTTCCAGACAAGCACAGGCAGGTCCGAGGGGAGACAGATGAGCTGGAGCTGCTCACAGGACAGCTCACACAAAAACCCTCAGACATGCAATGCTCCCAGCCTGTTCCTTAGGACGGGGCACAACTCATTAGGTCAACTGTTGCCCTTAGACTCTGGCCCAATCATCCCCACCTGTCTCCTCCTGATGCCAAGGACACTTCTGAAAAAGAATGATTTGCTGAAGATTCTTTCATGACTTCTTCCCTCACTAGGTTAGTCGTGCTTACCCGAGTCCTTCACCACAGGCCTCTCCCCCATTCTCTGGCCATTCCTACTATCCATCCCCCAAAGTCCTCCAAATCCCCTGTGAGGGCTTTCCAGACCTTTGAGGGGCTTTTCCCTCTAGCCAAAATGGCTCACCTTGCCTTGGCCTCAGGAACTGAAGGCAGGAGCCTTGGGATGGCGCTTGCCTTTCACTAGTAACTGTGAGACTTGGAGACTGGATGAAGCATAAACTCAATAGGAACTTTCTGGCTGAGGGCTTCACATCCTTAGCCTGCCCTCAGTAAGTGCTAGGATGCTTTAACATCTCAGACAGGGCTACTGAGAGCTGGTTGGGAGCTTCCTTCCTACAGCCTTTTCCAAGACCTCATGTATTCACTACCACTCTTCTAGACACTCCCTGCAACCCGTAGGCAGCCTACGCAGGCTTTTCCCTGCTACCCTGGGTATGGGGCACATGGCTCCACTCCATTGGCCTCATGCAGAAAGCAATTACAACATTCCTATCACTCCCAAACCCCAACACGGAGCTGTGGATGACACACTACTTTTTACAGGGGGATGTGCTGCCACACCACTGACCGTGCCTACATAATCCCCAAATGACTCTTCAAAAATAATTTAACTTTGCCATTTTAATAACTAAACTAGATTATAATGAGGACTTGTTCAGATTAGCTACCTAGAAACACATCTACTGTCCTAGATTGATGAAAACAGAATCAAGCCTTCAAAAGACAACCAAGTCACATTCCACATCTGGGGACACAGTCAAAAAGAGATAGAGGAAACAAAGGTGGGGTCAGCCCTTTGTTTTCTCCTAATTCAATAAATTCCTTTCACTCTTTCCCATCCCTGTACTAGAGCCAAGAGATGCAAATAGCAGTGTAAAGCAGGGTATACTATGGTGGGAAATATTCAGAGGATATGAGTGTATTTTCCAGTGAGCATGGGATAGTTGGGTGGGGATGTCGCTCAGTGGCAGATCATGTGGCTAGCATGTGCAAGGCTGTGGGTTAGATCCCCAGCACCACAGCACATCAACAACAACAACAAAAAAATACATTTGGGTCATTAGGTCATTAAAGGACAACATACATTAGTTATAGTCATGGGAACTACTGTACTATAACTCTCATGTTAATTTGTAAGTGTTTAAAATTGCAATACATCACAGTACACATACACACACAAACTTGAATTTGAGGAATTTTAAGACTTTATATCATTCAGATAATAAAGCTGCTAAGAAACAAATCAAGCAAAGAGAACAAATGTCCAGAAGCAAAGCTCTTTGCAATGGGACAAGCTTGAACGCCCAATCAGTACACAGCAGGGCAAAGTAGGGGCACAGTGCTTTCCTTATAGGATGAAGATGGGAACGAGAGTAGATTATTATCTGTATATGACCATGCTCTGGGAGTAAGACTAGACAACTTAAGGGATGATGTCTGAGAAAACATTAGAAATAAGCACAAAATGTTTTTCAAGAGGCCATAAAAGCCAGTCATGGCAACCCAATACACAATACAGTAGCAAGGGTGAGAGCCTCTTATTCAAAATGCCTGCGACCAGACAGCTAGTTCAGATTTTTTTCAGGGTGGTGGCATTTGCATATACACAGATAATGTAGCTTAGGAATAGGACCCAACTCTTAACAGGGATTCACTGCTGAACAGACATGTTACCTGGAGACCACTTGATGTGGCATTTTGTTTTGTGTATTGTGTTTTGATCATGACCTGTTGCATGAGGTCAGGTCTGTGATTGTCTATTTGTGACTATGTCAGTGTTCAATTTTGAAATCTGAATTTCTGGAGTGACTAACCTGTATTAGTGGTTCCTACCTGCCCAGTCTGATAATGCTTGGCAAACTGGCTGACTACTCGGTAGTCATTTGAAAAGTACTCCATCAGAATGGATGGAACTTCTGCAAAGTCAGTCGGGCACCTGGTACCTAAAATGGGGAGAAGAAAAAAGGGAGTTAAAGCAACATGTTTGTCTTTCATATTATGTGCAGTTTTAAAACTTCTATTTGTACTTCTGATGAACTATGATAAGTTTTAATTCATTGAATCAATATTTTACTTCTATAAAATATTGTACATATTTGCAGAAAAGTTTATTATAATCCTATATGTCTTTCTTTATATCAAAAGTAAAACAAAATATTTGCACAGCTGCCAAAACACCTTACAAAGCGACAGCTCACACCCTCCACACATAGCTTGTCTTCTGCTATACTGACTTGACATGAAATACAAATTAAAACCCTCTTACAACAATTAAGGCATTTGTATTTAATTCAATGAATTCCATTAGCAAATGCTTTTAGCCTTCATTTGTTTTCAAAGGACTTTATTTAAGCTACATACTGCTTTGTTACAAAGTCAATCCTTGGTAAGGAAAATCAATATTTTAAATTCAAAGTTCCTTAAAGCAACAAATCCCCTAAGAGCCTCTTGGTGACACTGAATTGTTCCAGTCAACACACCCACACTCTTTTCAAACACCTTTTCCTTGTCCAAGTTCTGTGTGTTCAGAGTTAGCTAATCAGCAATAGATGCCAACACCTTACTAGGTGGTCAAATGATGACCACTGACAGTAGTGAGCTGGAAACTTCATCTGAAGTAGAGCCAGGTGAGGAGTTCAAGTCCAGTCTGAATATACAGTGAGTTCAAGGCCAGCCTGGGTTACCAGAGACCTTGTTTCAAAAAAATTAAAAAAAAAAAAACTTAGAGACCAAAAAAAACTAATAATGACATCTTGAATGTAATCGGACATCATTAAAATTCATAAAGCATAATTACAATATTGTTCAGGGGTACTACAGGTAAAATACCTCACCATACTTTTAAGAAGTAATTTATTAAGAAGTAACAAGATACATGGAGTTTTATTTTAAGTAAAAAAAATTCACTCAGCAACTGTGCCGGGGACTGAGGAGACATAGCCCTATTCTTGCGTACACACACACAAGTGTCAGTCTCCTGTGGCATCATAAAATATAAACGTGCATGAACTCAAGCTTGACAACTGAGACGACTTCCCATCAAGAGAGAACAGCAGGAAAGCACCTAGAAACTCATCTGAGATGAAATACTCAGGAAGCAATGGCCAGACACCAGAAATCACCACAGATTCCCAAAACAAGCCTCCCTCACCAGTGACATGCTGGTATCGAGTTCGTCCGAGCATCGAATGCATGGCATGTCCCATTTCATGGAAGAGATTCTCCATCATCCCAGGAGTTAATAAGGTGGGGGAGTCCTTGGAGGAATAAGGAAGGTTCAGCATAAGAACAACGACCGGGAGCTGATAGCTTCCATCTTCCTTTAATCTGCCCCCTCGGATGGTGAAGTGGCAATCCTTTAAGAGGGGAAATAAACAAGACAAAGGTATTAGACACTCTAAAATACAAGTCTAGATTAAAACTCTATAGTTTTAGTTACAGTTCAGACTTATAACTTAAGAAATAAACGGAGGCAAAGGTGTTAGACACTCTAAAGAACAATCTAGATATAAAACTCTATAGAAATACGTGAGTTTGGACTCATAACTTGCTCAATCTTACTCTGAATATTTACTCCATTTTTTTTCTAAAACTGTAAATTTTAAACCACTAAAATGTATTCATGAATTCATTCAGTTACTCCAAAAACATGCCTTGACCTGATGTGTCTGTCCAGGGCTGGGAACAAAGGCTCCGAAGAGCTGAGACCCACACTCTTAGCGTTAACAGTGAGTGGGAAGAGGCCCCGATGTCCCTACCATGTGTCAGGCAACCAACAGAAAATCTTCCAGTCTGCCATCCTGGTTTCTGGGTAGCCAAGTTCTGAGCTCTAAGCGGAGTCTGGAACAGACATACTGTCACTCCTTCACAATGACATGAGGACAGACAACTGAAACTCAGCCTTGAAAATGTCAAGTGCCGCATCCAAGCACGCTAGCTGGATGTGTTGCCTCCTGGGTCTGAACCCAGCTGACTGTCAGAGGCCAGAGCTGAGAATCCTTAAACAGCCACCCACTAAGCTAAGAGGGAAAAGTTGGGACCCAGAGCCTGCTGACTCATCCTCTGGTCCTCTTTTTGATTCCTGCTAACCAGATCACCAAGGGAAGCAATTTACTTCCACGAACCTGATCTGCAGACTGTAGAATGCCACCTGTCAAATCCCAGACTAAGCTTATCTCCTATTCAAACCTTTGGAAGCTGTGGATCCCTATTAAATGACAGGCACCATTTTCTTCTGTTATAATTGGTAGCCTGAAGTCACAATATTTCCCAATGAGTTGCATGAAAATCTAAAGATGGCCTGTGGGAAAATCTAGCATGCAGGGAAAGAAAAGAAGCAAGCTGGCAGCACAACAGCTTCTACAGGCCCAGCAACTTGAGGAAAGAAAGGATTTATTTAACTTACACTTCCAGGAGGGAAGTCAGGACAGGAACTGAAGCAGAAAAACCATGGAGTAGCACTGCTTGCTAGCTTACTCTCCCATGTATTCTTATATAGCCCAAGATCACCTGGCTAGCAATGGTAACCACAGTGGGCTGAGCCTTCCTATATCAATTAGCAGTCATCATAATCCTTCACAGACATGTCCACAGATGTTCTTGGTAAAGAAGATAACTACTCAGCTGAGACTCTTCCAGGCTGTGTCAGGTTGACAGTGCTAAGTAGGACAACTGTCTGTCATGGAGAGGGGTTGAGAGCTGTGGTTCTAGACAGAATGTTTAGGGTGAAGGCCTAAAAACCTGTGTCCTGGGCAAGTGGATAATTTCACTAGCCTTAGTTTCCTTGTTGTGTTCAAAAGGCTGGGGTGAACATTAAAAGGTATGAATATATAAAGGGCTTATGTGCTGGCTTTCAAAAATATGAGCTTGTAAAATGTCACCAATCCTTATTATTAATTTCATATCACATCCCAGATTCGGTAGATGAGGGGCAGTAGATATGGATCCATGCAGGTCTTCTCATGACCTTCATTACTTTCAAATCTACCATTTTTTCACATTTACATATTTAGTAAATTTTTGGTGCCTTTAGATATTATGGAACCACAAAAATGACATATGAAGTTGTTCACATTCATACTGATAAACTGCTGAGGCTTGCTTACCTGATGTGGCTTGTTTGCTCGCTGGAAAAAATCACAGTAAATGTATCCCAGCAACCCTTCAGATTCATGAACAACAGCCTAGAATACAAGTTTAAATTCAGTGGTCAATGACCTCATCAAAACGCCCCAAATAGAACACAAGACCCTGTATATTAAATACTCATAGACATAAACATTTTAATTACGTTTTATATCCCAAGTTTCTCAAGTTCTTTACCTATTTTGGTCCACTTCTGGAACAATTGACTTAAGAATTCTGTGTTCAGGAGAAGACATCCTCCTTGGGGTCCTGTGTCCTATCTGCCCTTCCTCTACGTTATCTGCAGCAACCATAGTTCTTCACAGAGGCTCTTCTCAAAACAACCCACAAGATTTGGGAAGAAAGGCTGGCTTGACAGTTTTAGTGGCAACATTATTTTCCTTCCCTATCTCATGCAATTGATACAGGCCCTTGAATCCAGAACCAATAAAGCACAACTCTGTTTCCTATGCAATCATCCAGCTCCGTCTTGTCTGCTTTTCTGAACCTGGTGATTCTAGGAGAATGAGCTCCAATTGGTTCTTTTAAATTTTCAAGCAAGTATATTTACTCACGCACTCACTTGACAAGCACCTAGAGAGCATCTCCTGGGTACCCAAAGGGATTCAAGGCACCCAGGAGATGGCAACAAACACCATTGGCCTGGTGCTGCCCCAGAAGCCCAAGCTGCCACCTGCATCTGTCCTCCAGCCTGTCACTGACTTCTTTTTACTACATCCTGACTTCTCCCTAACCTGCACCATCCAAGACGTTAGTAACAAGACAGGATATTTCGTGAGTAACAACAGTGCTCTGCTAGCTTGACCTGTTTCATACCTATTCCATGCTCAAATCATGGCCAAGGGGGCAGCAAGGCAGCTGACATGATTGAGCACACAGTGAGGGAAGCATAGCCATCGTGCAATCAAGAGATAAACAGCACTGTCCCTTGAAACCTTAGGGATAAATTAATATGGAGCCAAGAAAGCCACAAAGCATTCACACGCTAAGTAAAGTGGGTCTTAATAGGAGAAAGGCAAAACTCCAGGCTTGGTGTTGTCATCAGAGTCAAATAAATCAGACACAGGACAAAATTAATGGCTGATGAAAAGACCACTGCAAACACATGAAACCCTGATGAGAAGGGGAGCAGCACATACGGGAACTACAAAGGAACTGGGCATTGGCATTATGTGATGAGGAATAACGGACTTTTTTACGAGTAGAACTCATGACCATACTGAAGTATGTAAATGAAAATCAGGGTTTTATCAGGTTTCCTAAGAACATTTGTTGTGGAGAAATATAACTAGGCTGTTCCACATTCCAGGTCCTTTATGCAAGGTCCAAATCAGACATGGTACTTGAACTTGTTATCAGGAGAAATGAGCTGGGGCGCCCTGTCAGAATACAACTAACTGAAAGGAGAAACTGCTGGGGACTCATGGCTTACCAGCTTCCGGACATCCTCACACCACACCTCTCCTTTTGCAGGCTGCTCTGCATATAAGGTGATGCCCAGCAGTTTGTTAAATAAGATGTTCAGGCCTTCCATGCAAGCTCCAAGGGAGAAAAATGGGCAATATAAGCTGGGCTCAATATTATACCTAAGAGAAGGAAGAGAAGGTCAGTAGTGTTTCCGTTAACTGTTCATCTCTACTTAGGACCAGAGTGGCAAAAAGAAATTCCAGAAGGGTACAGTTGGCAGTCTGTAGTCTCTACTTCTGCATCCAGCACTGCAAACAACTGCAGCTGAAAACGTGGGTAGGTGGGGAAGAGAGGACATGTTGGCTCTATGGACTGGGTTTTTGAACTTGTGTGAGTCCCATCCTTGCATGGCTTGGATCCTGGAACCCTGACCAGGGCACCAAGGGGATGAAGAAAGGAAGGACATACATACAGAAAAGCTGAGATTGAGTAATCTGAGCTCTCTGTTGGAGAAGCCACAGCACCTCAAAAGCTCAGTGTGGTTATTATATACAGTTAAACAGGAAGGCAGGGTTATCGTATGCAGCTGAACAAGGAGGTGGATATTTCAGACAGATAAACAAGAAGGCAAGATTATTGTATACAACTGATCAAGGAGGTGGGTTATTACAGACAGACGAAGAGGCGGGGTTATCGTACAGCTGAACAAGAAGGTGGGTATTACAGACAGACAAACAGGAAGGCACGGCTATACAGCTGAACAAGGAGACAGACTTAGCTAATCTCAGAACAGTCTCTGTGCTAGAGCAGTCTTCAGGCCATAAATATCCTGGGGGAGAAGACCATCCTTGTGAGCCTCATCTGGGGAAGCCTTTGCCACTCTCATGGGGCTGAGGCAGTGGTCCCTGACATGGCCATGCCCATGTCAAACAATACACATCCACTCAGAATGTCACAAAGTTCCTACATGTATGGACTATTTTTTCTTATTGTTTTTCTTTTCTCTCACCCCCCACACAACTAAGGATAATGACCACTGAATCAGGTACTCTAAGAGAGACAGCTAAAGTCTCTAGGAGGCTGCACCAGGACCCCCTGCATATCCACAAGGAGCCATGAGGTCACCCTGCAACCCTGAAGGACCACCATATTCTATCATTTGAGGGCTATTCAACTCCCTTTTCTCCAGAAGGATGAGAATCTTCTATTTTAGCATCATTAGTATTGCAGTAATCAGGGTAGATGTATTCCCTATCTTAATTGTATTTATTATTATTAGAGTGTGTGAGTACATGTATGTTTGTAAGGTAGAGAGAAAAGGAGGGAGGGAGAAGAGGGAGAACACAGCATGCCAGCAGAAACCAGAGACAACTTTAGGAGTCGCTTCTTTCCTTCCCCTGTGGGTTCTAGGGACTGAACTCATGTCAGGTGCACAGCAAGCACCTTTACCTACTAAGCCATCTCTCTAGCCCATCATTCCTTGACCTTGACCTCCTTTGTGTTTGTGTGTTCACTGACCTCATTAAACAGCCTCAATGACCCAGCAACACACACATTCTTTAACACATACCTATATGCAAAATGTGAACAGTGTCAACCATAAGGGCTTCACTTTATAAAATATATAATTTAAAAAGAATGAGTTGTGTACACAAATATTAAACAAAAAAACTGAATAAAAACTTAAAGCATGCTAAGTCATTTTAAGGTTCTCATCTGGCAAAGTGTTTATGGAAAAATACCTGAGATATTATCAAATGTTTAATGCATATATTCTGTGACTATATACATCTTATAGATAGTATAAATGGTAACGAGTGACTTGCAGCCCAAAATAATATTTTCTATGTTCTACATATTCCAACATAACCAAGCAGATACAAATACATTATTCAAATGTTATTTCTGAGTCATTACATTAGGTCAAAATTTATAGCCACAGCCAAAAACAATGGCTCTAAGAAAAAAAATGTAGATGCTTATTATGTTTCTACTTTCTCACTCAAACTATATATTTTATATAAAATACAAACATGTATATATGTAACTATATAATTTTGTATAAAATATAAGCAATAAAAATTACATGGAATATCTGGATACATGAGTAAAGTTAAATCGCACCAAAGAAAATTGGTGATGAAATCCAAATGTACAATGTGCTTTCTTATCCATCTTCCATGAAAGCAGGACTGGAGTTGAGTCCTCACTCAAGGCTGCTGTCCACAATGTAGGAGCAGGAATGAAGAGCTACCACAGCATGCCCTGAGTCTGGAGCAGCGAGCTTAGAGTGCTGCTCAGCAGAGAGTGGGACAAACGATGGACAAGCAGGGCACAGTGTGAGAAGGAGATCTGCTTGTAGACCTCAGGGAGAACCAGGGAGGGAGGAAGAAAGGATGCCAGGCTGCAGCAGCAGTATGACTGAAATATGATAACAAAAAAAAAAAAAAACAGGCAGGTAGCTTCCAAAAAGTATGTGGCTGGACATGGCATCCTCCACAATGCAGAGAGAAGCAGACAAGGGTATGAAGATAACAAGGAGCAAGGAGGTAGGGGAGGAAGGCAGAGGCTGGAAGAGTGCTGAGGAAGCAGGCATGCATTCTGCAGGCTGTGCTCTGGGAGCTGCTGTGCTCTATCAATAAGTAACTCAGGGACTTGGCCTTACTGAGAAGTCTCTACAAACCATATGTCTGTGCTATTGTTATTCCATCCCAAAAAACTCACAGAAGCTGTTTGTAAGCTGAGGTAAAGACGAACACATGTGGACAGAAGTTACATTTCACACTCATGTCTCAGGGACTGCCTGTGAAGCAGTTAGGGATGGAGCTCCTGGCTAAGGCACTGATGTTTCCTGGAATGGTGAACATTGAACAAAGTGGAAAACAGCTTGCATGAGAGGCAGGGGGAATAGAGAGGGCTCCTCTGGTGTTTCAGGTGGCCAGTTAATGAGGGGCTGAAGTGCTAGGTGACATCAGGGATGAGAAAGACATGTTACTCTGTTCTCCTTCCTTCGAGAGACAGAGGAGGCGGGACTGTATGAGAGAGAGCCAGTGGGAAAGAGATGAGAACCAGACTGTTCAGGATACACACAACTATGCAAAGAGAAAAAAGTGAGTTTGCCCTGGAGAAGACAGACTGTGGGAGGAGGACAGAAACGTAAAATTTGAAGACACAACTTTAAAACAGTCACGAAACCTTAGACCTTAAGGACCAACAAGGAGGTGTTGCTATAGCTGAGAAGGCCCTGCAGAGGACACAGCCGAGTGATCACCGTCTGATCAAGGGTAGATCCCAGGACCTGCAGATGAGGGGTGGATAGAGTCACCACTGATTAGAGAGGAACACCATGAGGCCAGGAGAAATACATGGTGAAAAGGAAGGAAGGAAGGAAGGAAGGAAGGAAGGAAGGGAGGGAGGGAGGGAGGGAGGGAGGGAGGGAGGGAGGGAGGGAGGGAGGGAGGGAGGGAGGGAGGGAGGGAGGGAGGGAGGGAGGGAGGGAGGGAGGGAAGTGCCAGGCTTCAGGTCAGACACTCAAGGAGCCTAACGGCCACCACTACATCTAACAGCAAGAGCCGCACAAATGGGACAGCAGCACCCGGGTTTACAGCCCCAGCCACCTCCCCAAAACTGGAGACAGATAGACAGCCACGACCCTGGTCTTGCACAGTACCCAACACTTGCATGAGTTTACTTCTAGGAGCCCTACAGTTCTCAAAGTTAAGATGGAGAAAAATGCCTCCTGCCAGTAGTGGGAGAAGAAAAGGAACCATTCTGAAATACTGCCAAAAGATTCTGCTCTTACTGTGGTCTACCCTCAAAAGATACCACTTAACCAAAACCCAAGTGAAGGGCAGGGAGTTGTGGGTAGAAATGATGTTGAAATACCCAAACCAAGCACTATTCAGCCTCAGGACTCATCCCAACAGGAAAGGAGAAGCTGAGAGGCATTGCAGAGGTCACCCAAGGACACAGGACACAAGCCACTCATAAACTTCAAGCTCAGCTGCTGTTACTCAATGCCCTCACTAGGGGCCTAAAGCAGTGAAGTGCCCAATCTTGAGCTGGGATCAGCTGAGATTTAGCTGAACAGCATTTTTCTCTTCCTAGGCTAAAGGCCTCTGATGGTTGCTGTAATAAAGAGACAGAGTGTCACGATCCATTTGCAGGATGAGGTGTGCTTGGAGTTCATCAGTCTTGAGATAAGTACGCCCTAGCTGGTGGCTGGTGCCTACTTATCTCAGATCTCTGAGAGCAGGAGAGTGACAAGCAGTCTGCTATGTGACTGAGTCCCCATAAGAAAAGGGACAGTCTTAAACCATAATTACTCATCAGATAGGGCATTTTGTCCTAAATGAGTAAGATGGGCAATCTGGGGAGGAAGGCAAGTCCTGTCTACAGAAGGAGAGGCCATGGATTTCCTGTATGGGAGATGACTTTTAAGACCATCATCACACAGCCACGTCTGCCTTTCCTCTATGTTGGTTCCCTTTCTACAGAACAGAATATTAAAAACTGCCTCTTTTCACTGTCTTTTCAATTTGTTATTATTTATCTGCAACAGTTGTAAGAAGAGACAAAGCAATCCTAGAACTGTCTCAAATATTGTAGGGGTGTGCATGTGAACAGACAGGGCTGTGAAATAATTATGATTAACATCTTAAGGGCTCTAAAAGAAAAAGTAGACAATGTCACAAGAACAGATGGGTAATGTATGCAGACAGAAGGAACTTCAGAAGAAAAAGAATATGGCAGAAACCAAAAACATTGTGACAGAAATAAAGAACGCCTTGAAAGGGCTCACAGACTTAGAATCGTGGAGAAAGAATCACTGAGCTAGAATCAATGTCGATAAAAGCTTTTCAAACCTGAATGCCAGGGCATGGGGAGTATAGGGGAAGCAGAGGCAGGGGGAGTACAAGTTGTGGGAGGCAACAGTGAGACTGACACTGACTTAGGGGGAAAACAAAATAGAAATAGAGAGAGATAGAGAGGGGGAGGAATGAAAAATAGATAAAACTATCCAAGATTTATAGGATAACTACAAAGTTGTGAAGTATAAATAATGAGAACAATAGAAGAAAACATTTGTCACAGTGGCTACGAAGTTTCCAAATGAAAACCAACACCTGCCAGTGGTGTTACATGTCATGTCCCTACCCCCAACCAAGGGCTGGGGCAAGAAGACTAAGTTCCAGGGCATCTGGACCACACAGTGAGGTGTCTCAATAATAACAAAAACCTAAACAATGTAGAAAAAAAAAAAAACCACCAGGCACCAAAACAGAGAACTAGAAAGAGAGAACATCAATAAGTAGAGCCATCTCCTACCAAATTTATTGTAGCATTGCTAACTACAGAAAAATCAAAGACAACCCCTTCTTTTAAAATTGTGGGAAAAAAATCACCTTTACTACAGAGAAAAAGGATAAGAATTACAATGGACTATTCAGAAATCATGTAGTTAGAAAATGTGAGCGGAAATACTAAAAATGTCAACAGAAAAAAAAAACACTAACCAAGAACCCTATATTAAATAGTCATCCTTCAAAACTGAAGAAACAAAGGATTTTTCAGACAAAACAGAAATTACAGACATTTGTGTCCTGTAGGTCTGCCACATAATAGCTCATCCTGAAAATCTGAAAGCCTAGCAGAGAGATTGGCAGGGCTACAGGAGACCACAGAAATTAGAGAGAACACACCTCCAGCATAGATGCCTGCGGAGGAAAAGTTTGCCAGGGAAGAAACAGGAGAGGACCACAAGCTCTCCAGGACCTGAGGGAGGGGCTTAAGTTGAAGGATGTCACAGAAGGTGCACAGGCAAACAGGAAGAAATTGACCAAAAGGAAGACACTGGTTATCATCAAGTCAGAATCACTGGCAAAAATGGACCTGCAGTGGTTTGACATTACCGCACCCCATCACGGTACTCTAAATCTACAGGGCACTTTCTCTGTATTCCTCACTTAATTCCATGACACACATGGGACAAGAATTATACCCGAGGAAACAAAGGCCCAAAGACGCTGGTGACATCAGAAAGAAAAGCTCTGTCTTAGTGACTGTTCTACTACTATGAAGAGCCACAACCAAGGCAACTTACAGAAGAAAGCATTTAACTATGGTCGTGCTTAAAGTTTCAGAGGGTTAGTCCATGATCATCATGGTGGGGAGTGTGGTAGCAGGCAGACAGTCATGGAGTGTGGGCAGTAGCAGAGAGCTTTCATCTGATCTGTAGAGAGTGAAATTTCAAAGCCCACAACCCAGTGACTCACCTCCTCCAACAAGGCCACACCTCCTCATCCTTCCTAAACAACTCTACCAACCAGGGACCACACATTCAAATATATCAGATTATGGGGGTCATTCTCATTCAAACCATCACAAACCCTAAGCTTGAAATTAGAACACAGGTCCCTTCTGGGTGTGTACTTTGGGCTTCTAGGGTCTTGACTTTCACACCAGGAAAATAAGAAACATTTCGTAGGCTCCAATGTATGTAAAGAATGGCTTCTTGGGGGAAAGCCAGATCCAACACACTGCTACCATGATGACTGCCACACAGCAAAGAAAGCCATGGGTGGATTTCACTCTCCTCCAATATAAGAAGAAATGCAACAGGGTCAAAGAACCTGAGTCACAAAGGATATTACAGATTACTAATAGAAAACACTCATTCGTGTGCTGTGTCCCAGAAAACGAGGTTGTAGCCTTGAGAGGAATGATAGACATCAGAGAGAACCATACACTGGAGCCTCCAAAACTAGGAGCAAAACCCAGCCTATCCTCCTGAGATGCCAACTGTCTCAGTGTCTTCGTAAAATAACAGAAAGCTGAATACACACCATCAAGAAACACTACTGTGGAGTAGGTACCGGTAACATTAGGTACTGTAACGTTATGATGCTGACATTCCATAAGATGTCCACGTTCCTCAGAGCATGTGAGTGTACAAACAGAATATAAGACTGACTTGAAGGACAGGTCAATGGGACAGGGAAAGAAGGACAAAAACGCGACACAGAAATCAAAGGGGGGCAGGAGGAACAAACCCAGCACAACTTGATGCTCAGTGGCCCCCAGAGGTGAGCATCAAGCAGCCATTTGCATTGTTTCTTTTCTGTTTATTTTGAAGCTTTTCATAATTTCATAATAAAGGTTCATTTGAAAAAATGTAAAGTACCAAGGTCATTATGTCTCCGTCAATAAAAATAAGATTTCACACACTAAACAGAAGTTCATCTGTGACAGTCACTTTATTATGTGACTACTTCTGAGAGTTTTGAGGCTTAGCGCGAAGTAGATACTAGGAAACTACCCCTTCAGAAAACATCTTGATGTGACACAGCACCAGCACATACCCAGGCCACTGAAGCTAGCTGCTTTCAGGAAAAGAGACAACGCCTGCCAAGGCATGAGGAGCAAAACCCGGGTGCTGACAGGGGCAGATTAAACAGCTCTAGAAAACGGTCCCTGAGGGTCAGGGCAGGGATGGGGCCAACGTTTCCTAATGAGCATCTTCCTACCACTGTTCTGATGTTTTAAGCCATATAAATGCATTGCCATTCCAAAATAAATTTTAATTTCAAATAAAGCTATTTCAGATACTTTTCCTATTTCTTCAAACTTAAGAGACCTAGTTTCTGGGAAGACCCTAATTGAAAAAGCCAACAGCAGCTGCTCTTTGAGATTAAGCCATAGTCCTCCGTTCACTGCTGGCTCCCCACATCACTCCTGGGCAGTCCTAACACACGCTAATTCTCCACCTACTTCTAAACAGGTTAGTTTTCTTCTTTAGGCAGCTAAATGAAAAACTAACCACAAACAGGTCTCAAGTCTTAACATAATGCAAAACAGTCCCTGTGCTGAGCTTAAAGAAAAGCAGGCTGCAAAGAAAGTCACTTCTGCTCTCCCCTCCATGTAAGCCACACACCTAAGTGTGTTCAAAGTGGACGACTCGAACAAGGCTTTCGACCTCTTCACTGTCCCATCTCCTGAGCTCAAATCCAAACCAGTGTCCTCTTCCGCTCTCATCCATTACCTGCCCTGTACCTTTCTTTACCCACACTGCTAAAACTTCAGCCCGAGCTCAGCCCTGTAAACCAGTACAACAGATGACATGAGGGCAGACACTACATACAAATTCTTCTGAGATACTCCCACATCCTTTCCTGCTTCTTTTGCTGAGTTAACAGTCAACAAACAAGCCAGAGCTCATCACAGCATAGCTGGGCTGGAAAACGGGTCAAGCATGTATACCCCAAACCCCTAAAGGCTACACTGCATTAAACAAATCTGCCGAACTGCCAGGCAGTGGTAGTGACTTTAATCCCAGCACTCGAGAGACAGAAGCAGGCAGATCTCTGTAAATTTGAGGCCAGCCTGGTCTCCAGAGCTAATTCCAGAAGAGTCAGGGCTACGCAGAGAGAACCTGCATAGAAAAACAAAACAAATCTGCTGGACTAAAACAAGAGCCATTTAGGGTTGGCAAAATAGTTCAGCAGGTAAAAACATTTGCCATGAGTTCAATCACAAGGAGAGAAATGACTCCTTCAAGGTGTCCTTGACCCGCACACGTGCCACGGTATGTACATGAACAGACTCAAATAAATATGAATAAATACTTAAATGTAAAAAGTCTTTGAATGCTGTTCAAGACATTATGCCATTCTCTTCCCCAAATTCTCATTGTATGATTACTTTTATTTGGTGTTGGCAAGGGCTTGAAGAACTAACAAAGAATTCATGATTCCTGAAAACTCTAGGTATGCGTGCGTGCCTGCGTACGTGTGTGTGTGTGTGTGTGTGTGTGTGTGTGTGTGTGTGTGTGTGTGTGTGTGTGTACACACGCAAGAGCGTGCATGTGTTCCTTGGAGCTTTAAAGTAGGGATAGCAGGCTGGCAGGATGGCCCCGTGAGTGCAGGTGCCTGTTGCCAGGTCTGATGTCCTGAGTTCAATCCCCAAGACACACAAAATGGAGAGAACTGACTCCTGCAGGTTGTCCTCTAACCACACGTGCTGTGTATGCCCTTCCCCACATACACACATGCAAATAAATAAAAAAAATTAATATGTTTTTTTAAATGGAGTGTAAACTCATGAGACAGCAGTGTCCAGAGAATTAAGGACAGGCACAAGCCACACAAGTACTGGCCTGCAGAGCATCAAACCAAGACCCTGCAAATGAGACTCTGCCGTCAGACAGAGATGTGGCTCAGGGAAGGCAGGTGTGTGATGAGGGCACCTGAGCAGCTGTGTCACTAATGTGCAAAGTACTCAGTGCATTAACTCCTGATCCCTCCCTGCAGGAGTCTTTCTGGGAAAGCTTACCTCTCTGCACGAATCACACCACTGTAGTAGGGAGGGTCCCAAGGCATTAGTTCCTGAAAGGAAATGGTTCACTGTCAGCAAACATATTGACCATCTCATTATTTTTATCAGAAACTTGGTCAGCTTATAATAGATAAACCAGTTATTTTTAACATATATGAGAAAAAACATTTAAAAACCATAGCATGACACAATTTAACTTCTCTGTAACTAATATATAGAGGGGCTCAAATAAGGCATAACCCTAGGATCTGGGGCAAATGTAAATGACATTCTAAAGTGTAATCAACAAAAGTCGACATTAATTGGCTAAATCAGCTAGAATCCAAGTTTTCTCAAAGCATAGCCCAGATATGAATCCATACCTACACTACAAAAATGAGACAAGCATGCTTTGTGAAACTGAGCAAGAAGGTTAGGGTACAGCCCCAATATTGAAGCAGTAATTTAAAATGTAACTAAGGCAGAATCAACTCCAGTCTCAGCAAAGAACCTGTATGTCTTAAGGAGGTAGTACAAGAACAGAGCATGGCAGCTTAGGCTTATAATCCCAGCCCTTGGGAATTTGGGGCAGGACCCCAAGTTTGAGGACTTGAGCGCAAATCCTACCTCAAACAAAACAAAAGCTAGCAGAAGCAATGGCAGTTCTGCGGCAACCAGTGCAGGAGGCTGAGTGCAAGCCTGAGCGGGAAGGCCGGTCTTACTGACCAGGGGGAGCGGGAAGGCCGGTCTTACTGACCAGGGGGAGCGGGAAGGCCATTCTTACCCACCAGGGGTCGATACCACACAGCAACTGCTGAGGTGAACACCCCTACTATGTCCTGCCACACTGGCCTGTCTCTGTATAGCCTGCCCCGCAGGTGGCCACTCACTGAGTCACAGTGCCTCCCACAAAGGCACAACACCTGGCTCTGAGAAAGGCTTCAGCACTCCAACTGTCATGTGACCCTCACCCTTCCAAATTTCAGCCTCAGCAGAGATGGTGGTGCAGGAAGGCAGTGACTTAACAAGAGAGCAGTGTGTCACGGGATGGGGACAGGAGGAGAGCTTGGTAATAAAGTGCTTGCTGTATAAGAATGAGGACCTGAATTCAATCCCCAGGATACATGTAAAACACTGAGTATGGTAGTGCATGCTTGTACCCCAGTGGGAGAGAGAAGTCAGGAAGATGCCCTAGGCTCACTGGCTGGCCAGCCAGCTTGACTGAATCAGTCTCAAATGGGGCATCTACATCACCCCTTCTCCAAGGCTCAGGACATCATAGAAGAGGGCTGGTTGGAAAAAAATGTAAGAGCTACAGGATGGGAAGGAGTGCTGTAAAACTGTCTTCTGGGCTGGTCCATATTCCTTCATATTGATAAGGGATGACTCTCCCTATAGAGCTACAAGCAATTAATGGAAGGAATCATACTCCTCTGGTAAGTTGTCCTTGCTGAAGTAAATAAATGACCCACTACTCATGCTCACTACCCATGCTCACATAAGCACCCTAGTCAAATGCAGTGAAACACACATGCACAAGACATGAGGAAAGGAATAAGAGACTAATGGGGGAAGGAAATATGATCAAATTACTTATACATATCTACGAAACTGTAAAGAACAAATTTTAAATTAAAAAGAAAGTTCTAGAATCAAGAGATAATGCTTTTAGTAGAAATACTGTTTATATCATTTGAAAAAATCACCATATTTAACTTACAGAATTTTGAGGATTTAGTTTCATTTTCATTCCTCTCATCATCTCAAAGTCTTTTGCAGTTCTGCAAAACAAGTCTATCATTACTTAAGAAAAACTTTAGTAATTGCAGTAAGGATAAACTTTGAACCTTTCCAACAGTCATATATTAATAAAACTAGATGTCTTTTACTACAGAAAGCAAACTGTAATTAATCCAATTTTTATGAAAGTGTCATATGAGGCTACATTGATCATCGTCAATACGAATTCTACCATACGCACAATGCAACACACGCCTTGGAAGCACTAAAGCTTGGGAAGCAGAAGCAAGTGCAGATTCACCAGCAGAGTTAACTTAGCACCCCAAATACAGAAGACTGACAGTTCCTCTCCACAGAGCATCCATACAGATTGTAGTTATAACCACCATTCACCACTTTTCCCTACAGAAAAACGTTGGGCAATAACAGGAGGTATCTTTTAGAATTAACATACATACATACATATACACACACATATAAACCTACAAGCTTATGAAGTCACATTTGCTGAAAATACAATCTATAGCTACACATAAATGGAGAACCCTTCAAGCAAATGCAAGTAAACTAAGAAACTTCAAATCAACATTCCCTCTTCACTGTAATGGAGACACTGGTTCACTGGTATTAAAAGATTTTAGAAGGGATAAGCATAGCCAAGTTAGAAAGTGATTCAAAATCACAAGTTTAAAAATCCCAAACAGATGGGACTGGAGAAATGGCTCTGGGGTTAAGAGCATGTACAACTCTTTAAGAGGACTTGAATTCAGTTCCCAGCACCCAATAGCTGCTCATAACTTTCTGTAACTTCAATCCCAGGAAATCTGATACCCTCTTCTGACCTCCACAAACACCAGGCTGCACTCAGTACACACACATACATACAGACAAAACACTAAGCACATAAAATAAACCATTTTTAAAAATCCCAAACAGAAATCTGAGTACACGAAATGTGTTCCTGTGGTCAAAAATGGCTTGTAAGGCAGGTAAGAGGTCACCTTTGCCTGGGTCCCCAAACCATGGCATACCTCTTCCTGGAACCCTGGATATAACAGGGCAAGGAAGCCTCCCCTTCTCCAAGTGCTGGAAGAGAGCCCACTAAGGGCAAGTACTGGAGGTAAGGGACTGGAAGGAAGGGCAGAGACAGCAGCAGGGGACAAACGGGACCACCATTGGGTGTGAGGCAGAAAGGCGACACAGTTAGCATTACAAACACCAAAGCAGAGAATCCTTAAAACAAAACCCCAAACCCAGGAGACTCACTGCACCCGAGGGCTCCTGCATTTTGCCCCCAAAGACGCATGCTACTCTGAGTTTGCTATAATTAATGACACAGTTTAAAACAAATGGTTTCAAGAACACCTTGGAAAGGTAGGTAAATAGATACAAATGAGTGAGTTGACAAGGAGAACTAGCTGAGTTGTTAAGACTGGTATCATAGGGCGGCTAATTTCAATGTCCTCTCAAGGGGACAACCTCCTGCTAACAGATCTGACTAACATTTAAGTTTATATTCTTAGTAAATTACTTCTTAATTCTTAAAACAAATGTAAGTGCAGAAAGTGGGGAGACACATGAGGAGGTGCACAAGTGTGCGGAGGAGAGTTCGATCCCCAGGACCCACGTGCATGCCAGGAGGGCATTTAAGAAGAGGAGATAAGGCATCCCTGGAGCAAGCTGGTAGCTAGACTACCTGAATTGGCAAGCCTGGGTTCCAGTGAGAGAGCCTGTCTCAAAGTATAAGGTAGAGTGACAGAGGTAGAGTGACATGCATGTGTGCATGTGTACTGTACATGTACTTGGATGTGCATACACACAAACACACGTACTCACACAACACTCACAAGTTGACTGCACACTAAAATAGTAAACAGAATACCAACTAACCTTTCCGAGAGTTTGTCAGATAGTTTCTCAAGGAACTGCATGACAGTCTCTAAAGATAAAATCCAAAAGAAAATATTTTCAATTATGTGAAATAACACAAACATACATGTTAAAATTGCAGTGTGGGGGTCATCGCACATCTAGTCTCTCCTAAAGTGATGATTTTCAGAGGTAGGCAGAGTAGCCTCCATTTGTTTGGGATTATTTCTACACACTGAATATCTCCTGTGAAAAAACAAATTAAACTTACAGAGTACTAATTCAAAGCCTTGGATCACACCCAATGTTAAGAGCATTAATGGAAAGAAAAAAGGAAAAAAATTCAAACTTCGGGGCTGAAGAGATGGCTCAGAGGTTAAGAATACGGGCTGCTCTTCCAGAGGTCCTGAGTTCAATTCCCAGCAATCACGTGGTGGTTTACAACCATTTATAATGAGATCTGGTGCCCTCTTTTGGTATGCAGGAATACATGCAGGCAAAGACTGTATACATAATAAATAAATAAACCTTTAAAAACAATCCAAAATTCCTATCCAAATGTATGTAAAAGAAGTGTCAAGATATGTCTAACTGTCCCTAATTGTCAAGATGGCTAGATGCTGGCTTGAGTCTAAAAATCAGTGCATGCCAGTAATCTCAGCACACAGGACACTGTGACAGGAATCAAGGCCAGCCCAGTCCAGCTCCAAAGAGAAACCTTGTCTCAAAATTGCTCAACATCCCTAACCATCATGGAAATGAAAATCTACACTGAAATTCCATCCACACTCTAATCAGAATGACTGTTACTAGAAAAACAAACACAAAAAATTCAACAGATTCTGGCTAGGATGGGCAGGGAGAAGTCCCTGTTCACTGCTGGTGGTAATGTAATGTACAGTTACTCTAGAAATCGACAGTGGGGGAACAGAAAACCTAAAAGAACCACCTTAAGGTCCAGCCATACCAGTCTTGTGTGCTACCCATAGGACTCAGCCAATGTACCACAGCAATGTTCACCCACTCACAGCAGCCAAATCACAGAAACAGTCTAGTTTCATCCACAGAAGAAACAATGAAGTAATGTCCCTCTGTGTGTGTGTGTGTGTGTGTGAGAGAGAGAGAGAGAGAGAGAGAGAGAGAGAGAGAGAGAGAGAGAGAGAGAGAGAGAGAGAGAGCGCTTTACTCAGCCATAAATAAATTATGTTATTTTCAGGAAACTGGATGGAACTGGAGATTGTCATTTAAAAGTTTTAACTTATTCTTAGAGAGTTGTACACATATTTACAATGAGTTTGATCATAGCACGACTAAGAGGACTCACAGTAGAGGAGAGAGGAAGGGGAGAGTAACGGGGAGTGAATAGAGTCAAAGTTCATGATATATTTAAACAAAAATGCGACTCTGAAACCCATCATCTTATATAATATACACTAATAAAAACATAAATAATGTCAGTACAGTTCAGAAAAATTGTTTACCAAAAACCCAACTTTAAAAAGCAAAGTTTCTCTGGGTTACTTTTGTTATTTACAGACAACTGTAAATAACCTACTCAGTATCAACCCCAAGCAGAACTACACAAGGTCTTGTAATTGGACTTTGGTCTGAACTGCAGCTTGTCCACCAGAGTCAGCATGAGCAAGGCCCTGTGAGGACCAGAGTGAGAACCCATCGTTCCCATGGAAAGTGCCCGATGGTGTCTTCTGCCCCAAACTCCATGCAATGCTTTCATGTGTGTTTCAGTCAGCCACAAACATCGCCTTTATTTTTTCCAGATGATCTTTTCTATGGGTTTAATTTCTTGCCCTCTCTTTAAGCTATCTCCTTTCGGAGTGAAATGAAACACTAGGCAGGGAATGGGGTTAGCATAAACCACAACCTCAGTTCCTTGCCCTGTCATCTTCACGAAGCCTCATACTCAGTCTGTGAGCCAAGTTCACTGCGTCAGAAACTGAAGGGAGACAAAAGCCTGCATTTGAAGCTCTTCCCACCATCCTAGCTACCACAGACAACAGTTCCAAGCCCATCTCTATGCATGCAGCTGACTCCACATAGCCATGCTTCGTTTGGCTGCCCATTGTGTTTTTCTGGTGATATGCAAAGAATCTGGAAACGATATACCAAAAAGACTGACTTTGAGGAGATGATGAAGTCAGTGAAGTGCTCGCCATGTGAGCATGAGGACCAGTTTCCAGCCTCCAAATTCCACAAAGAAAAACAAACAGGTATAGCAGCACTTGCCTGCAACCCCAACACTGGGGAGGGGACACACAAGGTTCCCTGGAGCTTACTGGCAAGATAATCCAACCTAATTGACACAGGCTAGGTTCAGGGAGAGATCATGTCTCAAAAACAAGGTATAAAGCAAATGAAGAAGGCACCCAACATCTACAACAGACCTACAGGCACACCTGTATGCATGTACGCACGCGCACACCACCGAATGTGAAACTCTCTAAAAGTAAACCCAATGCTTGCTCACTACATGGTTGCTCCAATTCAGCCACCAAATGGATGAGCAGTGTAACCTTACTTCCTTTCCTTCTGCCCTGCTCTCTGGAGACTCAGCATTCCTTCAATGCCATCACCTTGTGAAACTCCCAAGCCATCTCATCAGCTGACAAACACCCACCTACTAAAACTCCAAGGCACTGTTGTCTGGACTAATCACTTGGCAGCAAGCTTTAGGTGCTGAAGGACATAGGTCACATCTCATATGACTGGGTACAGCAGTCTCTCTCTAAAACCGTTACTATGCCAACCACTTGCTTGTCACTCATGGGATCCAATAGACTTGTGTGAGTCTAGTGAACTCTAGTAAGCCTGGGCCAATGGCCAGTCCCCAGTCCTCTCTACACTGGCCTGCCACTGTGTCCACGTCAGGAAGTCCCTCTGCTCTCCTTAGGCCTCTCCTGGTGGCTTCCAGGAGACACACTCTGCTTCCTTTTCTTCTTACTCACTGTCCCACTACTTCCTCACAGCCGGAACTCATAGCAGCCCAGAGCCAGTTCTCAGCCTTCCGTTCCTCATGGTGTTCTCCATCCGTGACCTCATACAGCCCCAAGCCTTTAAGTAAATATTGCAACTTAATTATCTCAGAGCCTTCGGCCCACATCCATGTATGTACCGTGATCACTTTAAGACAACAGCATCTTAACTTTATCTTGAACCAAATCAGGCTCCTGATCCCCACTATACCAATCTTTCTAGCTGCTCAGGGTAAAGCTCTTCCTTCAAAACACCATGTACCTAGAAGCTGGTGCCCATGGATCAGCTGCACTTGCATCCTGGTCAAAATGCCATCATTTCTCCTCATGAGTGTCACAAAATAGCTCCCAAATGTGTTCCCCTCACCTCATCCTATTACAGTCATCTCGATATCAGTAGCACCTGTCATTACAGTGCCAGTCAGATCACTTTCCTTGTCTGACCACACCCTGAAAGCCTTCATCTCACCCAGGGCAGGGTCCTTCATGCAGCCCTCAACATATCATTAAGCCCCACTCTGGCCTTTCCTCAGATATATCTGGCACATTTCTACCTTGAGACCTTGACACATGGTTGCACCTTCTTCCAGGGGACTAAAGATTCATTCTAGTAACTTGCCAGGCCTACTCTGGAGCATACCATATCCTACATGTGCATCACATTTCTACACAAGTCTCCCTGGCAAAGGCACACTTAATGCTATGCCCCACCTCTGCTCCATCTTTCCACAGCAATACCAACTGTGTGAAGGAACCACTCTCTTCCTCCTGTCACAATGAGCTGATCCTAGGGCCCAGGCCAGTACCTGATAGAGTTGCAGCTCAGAAAGACCTCCTGGTTCCAGCTATGATAACCTACATTTCAGAGGTATGTGTAGATTCCTGTTATGCCATGTTTTTTGGCAATACCCCTGTGGTGGTTTGAAAGAAAATGTCTCCCCAAAGGGAGTGTCGCTATTAGGAAGTGTGGCTTTGTTGGAGTAGGTGTGGCCTTGTTGGAAGAAATGTGTCACTGTGGGGGTGGGCTTCGAGGTCGCCTTCGCTCAAGCTACACTCAGTGGGGTAGACAGTTCATTTCCTGTGGATCAAGACTCTCAGCTCCTTCTCCAGCACCATGTCTGTCTGTATGCTTCCGTGTCCTGCATCATGATGACAATGGACCAAACCTCTGAAACTACAAGTCACCCCAATTAAATGTTTTTCTTTATAAGAAGTGTTGTGGTCACGGTGTCTCTTCCCAGCATAGGAACCCTAACTAAGACAATCCCTAACCTTATATTCCTTCTGTGACTCATAAACCAAACCCTACTTCACAGGGCTAGTGAGGAGTTAAATGACATATAATGATACAGTAACAGCAATATTCTAATAGCATTATACAAAAGTAAAAATGCTGTATTTTAACCTCACTGATATTAACGGTAACTACAGAACCACACAAAATAAAACAGTGCTGCAGCACACTCCTGCAAGGTAGCACTAGGCAAGTAGTGGAGGCAGGAGGATCAAAGTTCAGGGTCATTCTCAACAGCTTGAGATACATGAGTCTCAAAACCAATACACTATATGTACGTGATATATATATGTGTGTGTATGTGTGTGTGTGTGTGTGTGTGTTTATACCATATAATGTCAATTCAGAAATTAAGTTTTATGAAACCAGTTTTAAGAGCTGAAATGGAACTTTGTGACAGAGTTGCATGTGTGGGTTGTATAGCGGGCATAAAAAAAAATAAAAATAAAATAAATGCTTTAAAGGTTCAAGGACAAAGTCCAAGGAAAGCAGAAAAGCACAAATTTGGGGAGTTTATCATGGAAGAGGTGGGTTTGGAGCTCATCCCTGTAAAGCTGCAAATGTGAGCAAAGGAGCCAGGCTGGACAGAGTGACCAGGTTGAGGGAAGCGGCCTTATAGGGAGGTGTGTGAAAGATGTGAAAGAACTCTGAGGAATGAAGGAGCATTCTGGAAAAGGGGGGCTGCATAAGGAAGCAACAAAGACAGAAGGAAACTGAGAACTCCTCCCCAGAGTCCTTCCCAGTGCTCCCTCCCTCTTTCTACAACAGCATGTGCGAGTGCTCTGCAACAAACTGCACTGTCTGCTCCTCCCTCTCCACCAACACCTCCAAAGCACACCTGGAGTCTAAGCGGCTGCACTGTCTCAGCACCCTGCTGCTGACTCCCTGTCTTAATCACAGAATGCTAAAATGCCCCTGAAAAGTTCCCAGCATTTCCATTACCCACTGTGCTGGACATTTTCTCCTAGGTTCCCTGACTCATCAGGACCTCAGCCCAACACAAAGCCAGTTTGTCCAATCCCACATCCCCTGTCCACCTAGCACAGACCATTCCCTGCAGGACTGTGCAAGGCTAGGACCTCACCACCTTGACTCAGGAAAAACACTACCCTTTATCCTTTCAGTCTACTTCCAACTAATCTGAGGACACTGGGCTGAGTTAAAATTAAATTAAATTAATAACAAGTGAAGACTTGGATTTGACTTGCTCTCAGCACATACACACAATTCTGGTCAAATTACTAACTCTATTTAAAGATGAGTTCCATTAAAAAATGTCAAAACTATCAACAAATGGTACTCTAAATGTATTAAAAAACAAGACACTGTTAGACATGGTAGCTCATGCTATAATTTCAGCATCCAAGAAACTCAGAAGATCTTTAATTCAAAAATAGGCTGGGCTACAAGGCAAATGTCTTTTTTTTTTTCATTTATAGATATTTAAAATCAGAAGTTCTAGGCTGTGAGCATAGTCTCCTAGGGTGGCTCCTCAGCACTGTCAATCCACCCCCCCATTCACTAGATAGAAATGCTATTTCCTCTAAGTCCTGTTTGTTCTTTGAAGTTGGATAAATGGGCTCACCTGGAGTCTGAGCTATGGTTCCCTGGAGGGCCCTGTGGGAAAACGTAGAATAACCTACTAAGTTTGCCAGAAGATCTCTGCTGCTTAGCAGTTCTTCTAAACATTTCAGCTGACCAGCATTGGGATAAAGAAAAATTTTATAAGCAGCTTCCCGAACCTGTGGTTAGAGAATGAGAGGGAAAGAAGAGACAGTCAAAGATCCAATGTCATGGCTCAAATTCCTGTGCACCAACCACCGGGCCAGTGTTCCCACGTTACCCGCAGCTAGCCATGGCTTCCGGAGTGAAGGAACAGCCTCCCCAGGGCTACAGAGTGAAGGAACAGCCTCCCCAGGGCTACAGAGTGAAGGAACAGCCTCCCCAGGGCTACAGCGCTTTTACGGGGCACAACTGCACACGGGGAGGTCAATTTGCCAGTGCTCCTGTCTCTATGCTAGAAAGCGCTTAAGGCCTTAAAAGTCACCATGTGACCTTGAAGGTCACCAGCCATTAACTGTACTCCCAAAATGAATTCCCTGAGAGATATGAATTTTCACCATTTTTCTTACTCAAAGTATTTGTGGAATTAACTGTGCCACAAGTTAAATTTTCAGAGCTTAGTAATGCAACAAAATTTTTAGGACTATGACATCATGTCACTAATGACTTGGGGGTTAAGACAGCAGTTACACACGTCCATTGGTGGTCAGAAGGAGATGAACAACAAGCAATGGGGGATTCCTACCAAGTCATCCGAGGCTTCTGCATGTAGACCGTCAACGACTGCATAACTCCCATCGCGGGCAAAGTGGTGCCGAATGTGCTCTGGTAAGAGATGCTTCTGGATTTTGTTGGGAAAGTTGGTTCCCATGAGAAAAGCACTGCTCAAATCCAGGATCTTGACATTGAGGTCCACTGCTCTCTTGCGCTGCAAGTGGGAGGAAAGGTATTTAAAAGCAGTGTAAATTAGCGTTTCACAAACAGACATTCTACAGTGGTAAGAAATCAACATTGAGTGTAATCCTCTGTCCCCCAAATCCTTCATTAAATCAGTCAACAAGTGGGCTGGTTACACCTCTTTGGTGGCACTTTTATAGTATTTCTGAAGTAAGAAAAATGAAGTATTTGATGAGTAAATTGCAAAGATACAGAATCTTACAAGACAAAATGCGAAACATTGTTCTGCACAAAACAGTAGTGAACACTCAAGAGACTCAGCTCAGAGGCTCTGGTTCACACACGGATCCTACGCAGTGACAGCAACAAAGCCCTTAGCAGCAGACTCAAGGGGCACAGGGAATGTTCTTGCTATGCTAGACCAGGACACTATGGCAGGAGGGCCACTGGCTCAAGGCCACTCAGATCCTGCCTCAAAAATTGTAAAAATCAATAACTATAACAAACAAAAAATAAACAGAGAAGCAGCAGAGGCCTGAGCGGGCAGAGCTGTACTCCACACTGTGCCCCAAGGGCGTGGTACATGGACAGCCACGCAGTGAGTGCTGGTACCGGCGTGCAAGCTTTAGTTTGTAGTCATACCTCCAGAGCACAATCTCCACGGAGAGAAGGGATTTCTGTAGGTCCATGGTCAAAAGAGTCACCTCAAAAAAGAGGGTTTTTTTTGTTTTGTTTTGTTTTGTTTTGTTTTAAGACAGTCTCACGCAGCCCAGGCTAGCTACAGAGCTGAGGATGACCTTACGTGTCAGATCCCAGCCCCACTGAATGATGGGATTACAAGCTTTGCACCATCATACTTGTTCTATGCAACACTGAGGGCTTCATGCATGCCAGGCAAGCACTCTGCCTGCTGAGTCTCATCCCCGGCATGCACCACAAATACTTTAAGATGAAACATAAACTGTGCCCCACGTAATCTCTGAGGTCTATTACAGGATGAGGTATGCACATTCAATGAGGCTTCAGACTGGCTTATGGTGGGATTTGGGTGATCTTATAACCTGCCTTAAAATATTATCAAGCAGCACTAGCTTTTTTCAGACACGTTTGTGAGATGTATCTGACAAGAAGCTGAGAAGCACTGGGGTGGTGCATCTCAGCTTGAAAGTCCTGAACTTGGTCCTCAGCACTGCACAAACTGGATATGTACAATCCCAGAACACAGGGAATGGAAACAGCAAGATTAGAAGTTCAATGCCAGCCTCAGAAACATAGTGATTCCATGCCACACTGGGTTGCATGAGACCCTGCCTCAAAAACAAAAAGGCTGAAAATATAAATAAACCAGATATGGTGATACACATATATAATCCCAGTACTGGGGAATACTGAGAGGCATTTTGAATGTTCAAAGTCAGCCTGGACTACACTGAAGTTTAATGCCAGCCTGGGTTATATAACAAGACTCCTGCCTCAAACAGAGTAAATGTAAAATAATAACCTAAAGTTTTTAATATAGAAAACCAAACTTTACTGGGAAATTTGGTTTCTAGCAACTCTAATGTCTTTTTAGTTCTAACTTCTCTTGCAGCAATGTATTGCCACCTAGTGGCAATCAGTAGAATAACAAAAATTATGAATTACCACTCTAAAATTTTTCCCAAAGCTTTTTTATGAAAAACATGAAGCACACTGTAATAAAATTACTCATCCCCCAAATTTTATCAAGTATTAAACACTCTGGAAAAATAAAATATAGTTCAGTTTATGAATTTAGTGACCTTCCAGGCACATCATTTCATCATTCCCAAACAGTCCACAGTGCATAGGTCAGGACTCTACACACCCTGTGAAACTATGAGAAGCACTTCCTGTAGCTACAGTTATTCCAGGGAAACCATGGCAGGAGAAGTGCTTGAGCCCAGGAGTTCAAAACCAGCTCACACAAGTGATCCTAGCATTCAGGAGGCTAAGGCAAGAGGATCACCACAAGTTCAAAGGCCAGTCTGTGCTACAAAAAAGGATCCAGTGCCTCAAAAAAAACAAAAACAAAAAACAAAATTAAGAGACAGGAGAGACAAACGGAAAGATGGAGACCTATTTATCAGCTATGGCATAGAATTGTTCCTTGGTATTGACTGGTGACAAAACACCCCTACTTCGACAGCAATATTCACACATGATCAGTCCGTCTGAATTTGCAAGCAACCTGTGCACCTCCTTCCTTCAACTTTAGAAAATCTCTCCATCACTTAGGAAGCCATAGGTCTACGTGAAAACCAGGTGAGAGCACAAAAAGTATTGTTTAGAAGTCTTCTCTCAGCTCAAGGCAGACACGTTTTTTCCTGAATGTTTTTAATCTGAAGTTGGTTGATCCAGACAGAGAAGTCTCCGGCACAGGGGTCTGGTTACACAAGCCCAAGAATGCCACGTACTTCCCAAGACATTCTGATAAACCAACTTCTGTTCCGAGATAAATGGATTTGAATTCACTGCAGTTATTAGGATGGGCAAAGCTATCTTTTAAAAACTAATACTAGGCTGTTGTCAAGCAGTTGGAAGCCACTCTTGATGGTACCCAGTCTCTCCTCTACCCCAACACTGAGCTGCTGCCCACACCAGGGACTCATTTGGCAGAGTATCACATTCTTAGGACAGCAGCAGCCAGTGTGAGAACTCCTGGCACTAAAGCTGAGAGCCTGAGCAAGTTACTTTGCTTCTACACCTATAACACAGAGGTGTAGACAATGTGTCAGGCCCTCCAGCCAGAGTGAACTCTGTAGGTCACACCAGCACCTCTGCTGTCATAGCAAGCGTGTGGACCCACCAGGCATGCACAGTGAGAACGGACACCTCTGTCAACAGCCCCTTACTCTCCATCTCAGCTTCATTCCATGATACTTAACACTCCAACTGTGTTGTTGCTTCATTCTGGATTATCAGGGGTAATGAATGGGCTGGCTTCCAGAGAGCACTACTTTTAAACACTACCTACAGAAGAATTTTATGACACATGAAAAAAGTCCTAAGAGTTTACCCAGTCAAGTGAAACACAAGGGCTCTGGCAACTAAATGTTAGTAACACCACCAGTCAAAAACAGCTGAAAGCCTGGTTTGGTGGCACATGCCTGTAATCCGAGTAGGATGTGAAGGCAGGAAGGCCAGGAATTCAAGGCCAGCCTCTGCTACACAGCACGTTGGTCAACACGTAACGCTGTCTTCAAAAACAGAAAAAGAGCTGAGGATGGAGCTCAGCTAGTAGAGTGCTTGCCCTGGCACACGCCAGGCCCCGAGTTCAACCTCCAGCCCTGAGTCTGGCGAAAGATCAGAAGTTCAAGTTCATCCTCAACTACATAGCAAGATCAAAGCCAACCTGAGCTACAAAAGACCCAATCTCAGAGCAAACAAATAAATAAATAATGCACCCTGTGTGGTAGCACACACCTTTAATTCAGGCACTAAGGAGGCTGAGTGAGTTTGAGGCCAGCCGAGTCTACACAGCAGTTCCAGGCCAGCTGAGGCTAAAATAGACCCTGTTTCAAGAAAGAAAAAATAGGGATATAGAGAAGGTTCAAAGATTAAGAGCACTTGTTGATCTTACAGAGGACCAGGGATTGGTTCCCAATACCCACATGGTGGTTTACAACCATCTGTAACTGCAGTGCCAGGGGCTCTGAAATCTTCTGACCTCCAAGGCCATGCATGGGGTGCACATACATAAATGCAGGCCAAGTCATACACGTATGATAAATAAATTTAAAAGCATATTTTCAAAAGATTAAGAAAAATATTTACCTCTTCTTCATCTAGATGGATTCCACTTATTTCAAAATCAAACATAAATAGCTCAGCCACTCGCCTAAAAGAAAAGTGAGCACAAGTTACAGGAGTTCATTAAAACTACAAACAAAATCAGTCTTTGTGTTCAAATCAGGACTTCTGAAATTTACTGTAAAAAACTAGCTCAACACACAGAGACAAGCATACCCACAATCTGTTTATTTGTCTGAAACAAGGAGCTTAGTATCTTGAAAATAGGTACAATCCCAGTTGACTGAGAGTCTCTACTAGCTTATCATGTAAAAGCTTATTACATGTTAGCTGGGAAAACTAAGATCATAATTATTTCAACTCCATCCAAGCCTGAGTAACTAAAACCAGGATCAGTTCACACTTAGACAGCTTCTCAAGGCCCTGCATGCATTCTCCAAAGAGGACCTGTGCTTTCTCTTTAGTCTGTCTTCAGGCTTGAAGCCAATTTTCTACTTTCCTATCAATGACGTGTTGTTTGTTTGTTTGTTTGTTTGTTGTTAAGCTGCTTCTGTTTCTGGTGGTAGACTAACGGAGTATTTGATATATCCTTCTGGCTTCAACTTCTCAAAATGGATATATTTATTATCCTGACTATTGTATATTACAATTCTACTTATGAATTTATTGCTGTTTTTGTTTTATAAGGTAGAATCTTGCTATACAGCCCAAACTGGCCTCAAACTTGTGATCCTCCTGCCTCAGCCTCCTGAGTGCTGGGATCATGAGCGAGCACCACACCTGTTTCACTGGATGCATAGACCTAACATTATTCTAAACATCTTCCCACCTGCTATCCCCATGGTGCTGGGTCACACTCAGGGCCTTGCATGTACCAGGTATGTTCTCTAGCAGTGAGCTGTACTCAGCCCAGGATCTAAAATCCTAAAACTTCAGGGGCCTTGCAGGGGATCTGGGAAGCCCATAGCTCCAGCACTTGGGAAAAAAGAGTCAGGAAAATTACAAGTTTGAGCAATACTGGACTAATAGGGAATTCTAGAGACTGTTTTGTGATAAACAAAGAAACAAACAAATGATTAAAGAAAGAATGAGTGGACGAATGAATGAATCCCATTAACAATTCAGTCATTGGTATGCTTTCTTAAATGCAGAATAATTTGCATACCCCTAACTGGTCTCCTTATCCACCTCATACCATCTCCCTTTCCTAAGCACAGTAAAAACACAAAACTCTCCTTAATCAAAGGTGTCTTAGGCAAAAATATTTCATGATATCTCTTTATTGTAAAAAGTTATGGATTTGATTTTTTTCTGCATACTATTCCATCATAAACACTCAATATCTTCTTATATTTAAATATTCTTCAAAAGTATAACTTTGAAATTAATACATTCTCTGATAATTCCACTCATGAAAAAATACAACTTTTCACATTTGTGTTAGACTCTGTTGTAGAAGCTAAATATTTTCTATTTTCTCCATTTCTGTAACTGATGTAATTTTTAAAAACCTACATGTGGCTGGGCACAGTGGTTCACACCTGTAACCCCACACATGAGGAGCAGAGGCAGGCAGAGCAGTTCAAGGGTAGCATGGGTACAAGAGACCCTGTCTCAAAATCCAACCAAACCAAAAATATCAAAAACCAAAGTATTATATGCATTTCTGTACCCCTGTTTGTTTTCTACATTCCAAGAAATTAAGCTGATCAAAAAGTATTCATATTTCAAAACGCATTCTCTAACAGTCCTCCCTACAACAATTTATAGTTGATTGGAGGCCCCATTATTACAAATTACTAACAACCACTTCTATGCTGTTTCAACCTGTGTTGAGTACTGGGTGTTCCCCGCCTTATTCCACTTGGCATCACATCCAATCTGGGGTACAGTACCAAACAAAACACTTTACATGAATTATCTCACCCAAATGCCCTTTTGACAAAGGGAACTAGGGCTCAGCAAGCTACTTCGCCAAGAGTCAGCCCTGGAGTATAATTCTAGAGCCACGTCTTCCAACTGCCACAAGACCAGTGTTTAGCTACAACTAACAGTGTAAACTTAATGAGCATTTATTCCTAGTCCTTATCTTGTGAAATGAGACCTTCACAAAAGCAAATTCTGTTTCATTTTTGCATATACTCTTCTCTATTTATTCCAAGTAATGTATAAGGTCGATTAATATGATAAATATAGTAACCCTTTGTCATGTAACTGTGTCTCATTTGTATTTTATGACTTTCTATATAGAAGAGTTTGACCATAAAAAGTTTGCAATTTTTATGTAATCAAATCTATCTTTCCTTTTGGTATAATGTCAAGAAAGACCTACCACATCTCAAGAGATCTATGCTTTTATGACTTCTCTTTTTCAAATTATTGATAGATGGCTGATTGATTAGGTTAGGGACAAGACTTTGAGCTTGCACACACTAAGCAACAACTCACTATTGAGTCAAGCCTGGTTTTATTGTTGTTATTGTTTTACTTTTTATTTTGTGACAGGGTCTTATACTTGCTCTGTACCTCAGCAAGTCCTTGAGCTTGGTTCTTCCTACCTTAGCTTCATGAATATCTAGGATTATAATCCAAAAATACCATGTATAATTTTTTTAAAATCCATCTTTGATTGATGAAACAATTCTCTTTTCCCTGAAAGGCCACTGGCCCAGCATCATTTGCTAAAAATCAGGTTTTCCCCCATTGATGTGAAATGACTCATTACATACTACACAGTTATAACCAGATCTGTCCCTCTGGCTGAAATTTCTCCATTCCTCCATTATCTAGAATATTACAACTTTAAGTATAAAGCTTCTGCGCACGTTTGCAAAATCTGGTTCAAGACTTTTTGTTACTTTATCAGATTTTTCCCAGCCTATTCTGGAGTCTTCTTTACAACTTCAAAATCATTCTAAGTACAGTAGAAAACCCTTCTATAGTCATAAACTCGCTGACTAGGAGATGAAACACCTTCCCAGATGACATAGCTAGCTCCACTAAGAGCCTGAGCTTCAGGGGTAATGGGAGAAACAAGACCAGGTCTCTGCACACCTGCTGGCAAGTGAGGTAAGTCCCCAGAACTCATACACACAGTGTACCACTGCCTGGAACTCATATCTGAACTGAAAGCAAGGTTCCATTCCCAACTGACCTCCACGGAACAAAGCTTTAGTTGGGGTGTCAAGTTACATAGGGAGAAAAACACAGAGATGGAAGCAGGAAGAGGGAAATTAGGTAGTCAAAGAATATGTGTCCCATAAACAAAAAGGATAAATAGGTGAAGAAAGAATTTCTATGTTATGACATCAATATCTAAGCAAATAAATGATGAGTCCTACTATACTTACCTTATTATTACATTTCATTCATTTATTTTGCATGCATGCATATGTATCAGTGTGTGTGTGTGTATGTGTGTGTGTGTGTATGTGTGTGTGTGTACATGTACACACCTGTCATAGCATAAGTACAGAGGTCAGAGAACAACTTCCATGGGGTCAGTTTTTTCCTTCCACCATGTGGATCCCAGGGACTGAACTCAGATCACTGGGCTTACTGACAGATACTTTCACCTACTAAGCTTCCCACTTGTCCTACATTTATCTTATAGAAAAATTTAAGCAAAGAACTAAGGATCCAAGGTCATACATCAAGTACTTCTGTGTACTGAGTTAGCACCAGGCTTCTAATAATAATGAATAACTGTAACCTAATGAGTCAGAGCTCATCATTTTAAGGATCCTGAGAGCCACCCAGAAAATCAATTTGCTGCTATGTCCCTATAATGCTATTAAGGAACTATAAGCATAGAGATGGCATGATTTAACAGGAGGCACTGGTCATTCATCTTGCAGCAATGAACAAAGCAATCTGAGAAGCAGCCTTGTAGGGCTCGGCCAGTGAGGCAGAGAGATGGAGGCAACACTCCAACCCAGAAGGCCAGAGGCTCTCCAGCATGGCCTGCAGTCAGTCAAAGGAAATGAATGAACGTTGAGTACCTGGTTTCTGCATCCAGGGAATCCATAAGCTTTTTATCATCTAGTAATTTCTGGAGACTCTGATACAATTCCACATTCGTATTCAACCTAGAAAGACCATGAATGAAAACAAGTCATTTTCTAATCCATTTTTAAAATTTTTACTCTACATCAAGAAAAAAGCATTGGATGGTCATAGACACATGCCCAGATCCCAAAACTGGGAAGTAATTTTTTGTATGTTCTTTTGAACCAGAAACAAAAACCATACTAGAAACTCCAATATAAGAACAGGCAATCCATTAAGCAAAACGTCAAAGGTCCTAACCACCCCCGTAGGCAACTAGAGCAGGAAGAACAGACAGGACAGAGGCGAGGGTGGCGGCTTCGGTCATGGAGACTTTCCCATTAGAATGCGCAGGCAGCCTCTGTTTTTAACAACTAGAAAAAAGCAAGGAGGGAAGGGAGGTTGAGCCAACAGCAAGGCTTCCTTAAGACCTCAGCTCAGCGCCCTGGAACTCGGCCTAGCTGTGCTCACGTGGGTAAGAGGAGCAGCCCCACCCTGGCCAGGACAGTGTACAACCAGAGTCTCATGCAGCTGGTCAACTGCAGCACTGTAATCTTAGGCTGCCATGAGGACTGAATTAGATTGTAGGTACATTCCTTACCTACAAACCAGTGCAGCCGCCTGCGCTAGGTCAAAACTGGGAGCAAAGAGCCACGACCCATGCGCCAATGCCAGTCCAACCTGCAGCACCACCGTCCTCTCCCTAGGTGCCAAGGACCTAGCACCCTCAAGGCCAGCCTTAGGACCAGTCCTAGACTGGAATCCGCTCCCACATAGTGGATCCTGGGAGGGGTGGGCAATATCCCTCATACCATCCAGTCTACGATTCTGAGATTCTTAATTAGGAACTCAAGGATGGGTTATTCATTCACCAGGCCATCCACAATTAAAAAACTGAAGAGACTTGTGAATAAAGGATTTCTTTTGCCACCCCTCCCATGGATCTTCCCAAATGTTAAGGGGACCAAGACAGTTACTGTCAATCAAGAGATGCTCGGCAGGACAAACATCCCTTACTCTCTGGCACAGTTCCTGGTGTCGGGGAAAGCTGGCCCTGCTGAAGTGCATGTACCTCTCCCCCACTGTACACTGATGGAAGACTCCAAGATGAAGTCTATGTTCATAGTTGCTGTTCATTCTTAACCAATCCAAATGAAAACCTCTTTCTCCACTCCCAGAAAATGAGTCAGTAACCCTATGTATCTGAAGCTAGCCTGATCAACTTGAAGAGGTTAGCTGTGCTTCCATTAAACAAAAGGGGGAAATGAGTCACAGTGAGGACTTGGAGAAGGCAGGAAGCAAAACTCTGGGCATGGTGATAAAAGATATTGTAGAGCAGGGCCGTGGTGGTGCACGCCTTTAATCCCAGCACTCAGGAGGCAGAGGCAGGCGGATCTCTGAGTTCTAGACCAACCTGGTCTGCAGAATGAGTTCCAGGACAGCCAGGGCTACACAAAGAAACCCTGTCTTGAAAACAAAAATAAACAGCTATTTTCAGGCCCTTTTCAAAAAGACTAAACCACTCTCTACGGAGAGGTGAAGATACAGTCAAATACTACACCGCTTCACTACCAATCATGGTTCTCCTTTGGTCTCCTGCTAAACTAAATGCTTGGGCTTGAAACAGGCTGTATCTAAATTCAGCAGGGCACAACTTTCACGGCATCCCAGACAGGTGTTCTGGCCATGCTGACTTCCTTCCCGCCCACGCTACTCCTAATAGAAAGTGGTTGTTCTCCCGTGGAGTTCCTTGTTTCAGTCCTTCTTGAAGCAAAGGATCACGTGTCAGATGAGGCAGGGACTGGTTTTATTCTCATAGCACACATCGGTGACTACAAAAGTCACGTTTACTGTGCCTAAGTGGGACGGCACTGCACAATGGGACAGATAGGACAGCCACACCTCCTAGGATACCGGGGTCTTCCAGGAAGTCTGTCCAACTAGTGGAGCCACCTCCTCTCCAACTCTGGTCTCCCACCGAGCTAGCCTCATCTGGCTTGGTCACATACCTGTGCTTCAGAATATAGAACTGTCCACAGTGACTTTAACAATCCCTTTTAAAGCCTTTAAAACACTTCGGATTACCTCCAAACCACTTTAGGGAAACTTGTTTCCAGGTGGCCTCTGCCTGCAGCCTTCCTTAGCTCTCTCAGAGAGTGTTGAGACATCCCTAATCCCTACTCAACAAAGTCTGTAAGGTTACTTCGTGTAAATACGTATTTTGGCTTCCCACCCTGTGTCCCACAGTCATGTAGGCAATAGCAATTGGCTCATGCTGGAATCCAGGAACTCCAAATAGCCACAAAGAAACTCAAAAGACTAATTTACTGCCCTAGTTTGCTTTCCATTGCTGTGAAAAGACCAGAATCAAGAGCAACTTGGGGAGGAAAGAGATTGTTTGGCTTACATGCTTCATGTCACAATCCACTGAGGGATGCCAAGGTAGGAAATTGGAGGCAGGAACTGAAACAGAATCCACAGAGGAGTAATGCTCACACCCCATGGCTTATACAGCCTGTTTTTCTTTTCTCTTTTTTTTAAACATAACTTTTTTATTGACTCTGAGAATTTCACATCATGTACCCCAATCCCACTTACTTCTCAGTTCCTCCATATCTGCCCCTCACCCCTATAGCATCCCCCCAAAAAATAAAATTTTTTAAAATATTAATTATTAATTAAAAAAACACTTTGCTCCTTCTTTCCTGACTCTCCAACATCTCTTCATTCATCTTAGTGGCACTGGGAGCCACAGTTATGTCACATGATGTACCCTTTGGTCCACTCAACTTTACTTGAATGTTCACTGCAATGTGTTGTTGGTTTGGTTCAAGGCCTCTGGCTTCTGGCATACCATCAATACTTGACTCTCACTGAAACTCCTCTCAGATATCCTATTGTTGCCCCAAGTCATAGAGACCCTGGGGCTATGGTTCTGCAGGACCAATTCCTTCACATGCTCCAGCAGGTCACAGATGCGGTAGATGCTGGGCTGGACCAACTCAAAGTCCTGGATGTGGGTCGGGATGGTAATGTTTTGGTCAGTCCAGGTCACTGAGAGCACACCCCTCAGGCAAGGAGTTAGCCAGCTCCCCTTTTCCCATGCCATCAGGGCCAACTTTCCACACCTGTGCAAGGGGTGGGACCACCTCTCCTGAGGTAGGGCCAGCTCTTCTGCTGTAGTGGCCAGTGAGGGCCAGGGCCAGTGAAGGGTGTGCCAACACACAGGGACATATGGTAATGTTTGTCATCGTTATTATCGATGGCAGACAATTCCTCCACTGAGGATACCTACAAAAGCCAACCAGCACACTTACCATCAACAAGAATGATGACAAATATTACTATCTGTCCCCGTGTGCCTGACAACTTTTAAGCATCTCACATGTACCTCCTTTCATTTTCACACGCAGCAACCCTAAAGGTCAACTCAGTTATCCAATTACAGACAAAGGAAGAGAGGACAGGTCGATAATCCCAGCAGCAGTCCTCCACCCCGCCTTCCTGGACTGCCACAGCATACACCTCCTCCCACTGCCCTATGAGTGACAAGCACTGCACACAAAGCCACCCTAGAGCGGAGGAAACATACTTTTCCACCATGGTGCCGATACTTCTGCAGGCCTCTTCTGCAGCCTCTCTGAACGCGGGCTCAGGGTGTCCGATTTTCACAAAGTCTGCCTAACAAAGGTGAAAGACAAAACCAAAAGGGACTTTGATGGGATACTGGATTCTAAGATCAAGGGTGCAAACCAAGCCAGATTTAGGATGTGCTACTCCATGAACTTCCTCACTGAATTTGCCTCTACTGAGGCAGAGCAGATTATTTCAATTCTTTCTAGATGTTTGTGAACTTTGTAGTCCTTATTTCATTCCACAGCAGGTATTTTCTTGAACTACATTTTACAAGCTTTTCATCTTCAAATGAATACCCAGCAAATCCTTCCTATCCCACAATGCCAATGAGCAGACAGACACCTTGGTCTTGAACATTTTACTGCAGTATGGCATTGTCATGCTGACCCAGCTCCAGAGAGCCATTCAGGGGCACATTTTTAATATGACACCTAAATTCAAAACCAATTTACCATCCTAGGCTGGGGGAGGAGCACATTCTCTTTATGGGGCCTTTTATAAGAGGGAAAATGAATTCCTGATCCTCATCTAGAACAGTATGCAACCATACTGTTTCTGTTATGCCAACCAGGATAATTTAATCAAGGACTCTTTTTCAAAAATCATACAAAGAATCATATAAAGCAAGTATTCATGTTAATTGCAGTGAACTGCAAAAGAAACCTACAAGTGCGTAGGAAAACGCAGGGAAACCAGGAAATACTCCACATCTTCTTTACTCTTCATGTAGAGAGAATGACGATATGACTACAACATGAGATAAAACCAACCCAAGGGAGGCAGGCATGGGGGAACAAACCCATAATCTCAGCACTCGGGAGGCTAAGGCAGAAGGATCAATGGTACCAGGCCAGCTTGTGCTAAATTGTGAGACTCTGTCTTAAAAAGGTAAAACAACCATCACAAGGTAAAATTTCCTAATTTTATTATCAAATACCATTCAATGCAAAAGCATTTTAATCCCTAGCTTGGCACACCTGGTACAACATTAGGTCACCACAAGATCACTACTAAGGCACCCAAAAAACGAGCTGTGTAACATGTATTTATTTTACAGATTTCCCTCCTACATGCTACAGAAGCTACAAGGTGAAAAATAAAAACGACAGCATAGCTCTGTGTGTGTGAATGTTCCTGCACTTGTGCACGTGCACTGCAGCCAAAAGTTGATACCAGATCTCGTCTTCCATTTCTTCTCTCCCTCGCTTTAGAGACAGTGTCTCCTGCTGAGCCTGGAGCAATCCTCCTGCCTCTACCTCCCTCGTGCTGGGCCATCAGGTGAGCATCCGCACACCAGCTCCTTACATGGTGCTGGGGAGCAAGTCCTGTCCTCACACTAGGGGGACAAAACACTTCACCCTTGCTGACCATACCGTCAATGCAGCCCCATTAACACATGTGCTATTTGTAAAGGTGAGGAAGAAAACAGTACTAATTCATAAAAACTACATGAGAAAAACAAAACACCCGTTTCCTGACAACTTATGAAATTCTTGCCTTACAATGGTACTGATCCTATGGGTAGGAGTACCTTAAAAATTAATGAAGAATTATTACCCAGAAAATTATTCACCTAGAAAATTATACACACAAATTACGGTATAGTTTGCTGCTGTTGTGAGACAGTATTTCACTGTGTGGCCCAGGCTGATGTCACACTCATGATCTGCCTGCCTCAGGTCCCCAAGAGCTGGCATTCGGCCATGTCACACTGCACTTGGCTAGAAAAGTTTTTAAATGAGACACTGTTATACTTCATAAATAGTTTTAAAGCTCAAAACGTAAGAGATGAAGAACAAAACAAAACATGTATGGGAAAATTCTAGACCATTGCTTAAGGAGGATGCGAACAAAGCAGAATCAGGTGGTCTCCAGAACTAGAGTGGCTGTCAAAGTAGATTGTGGACTGTGTGAGGCACACCCACTGCATAGATTTGCCTTTTCAGACATCAATTACTGACATAGGAGGATGGCAAAGTGCAGGACCTCCTGGGCAGGACATGTCCATAAAGTCTCCACCGAGGAAGCAGGTCCCATGAACAGCACAAAGGCCCAGTGAAAGCCAGGGCCCGAACATCACACCTGGGGAAAACCCTTTACAGCAAAACAGTTTAATTGTTTTCCTTTAAAAATCTAGGGATACCAGAAAGAATGTATTATCATGTGAAATTTGTTACTGTTCCATTCAAGGGCATGACAGGAAAGAAACGTCCTATACAATGGAAATGAACAAGAATGGGGATGTATCAGGCCGAATGGGAGAAGCTGGTCTCAAATGCATATCTGATCCTAGACATTTTAGGAAAGACAGAACTGAGAGTGACTGCCAAAGTGGATCACAGACTGTGCTAGGCACTACAGTCCCAGCACTTGGAAAGCTAGGGGACTGAATGACTTAAGGCCAGCGTGAACCACATAGTTAGTTGTGGGACAGCCTAGGCTACACAATGAGACCCTATCAACACACACGAACGCACACATGCATGCATGCTCACACACACACACACACACACACACACACACACACACACACAGAGACAGAGACAGAGAGACAGAGATTGTGGTTGCCAAATTGAGGTAGATGAAGACAGATGAAGGGATTAAATCAGTTAATCCAGATGAGGTTACACTGAGGCACTGCCTAAATCTTCTAAAAGCCAGAATATTACCTAACTCAGGCAAAGCTCATCCTGGTGACTAGAGCAGTACTGTGTATTCGGCAACCTCAACCCTAAACGAACACTGAGGAAAATTCTACACAGGTCAGAACTACAACAGATTCTGAACTATCACTACTTTGGACTCTGTGTGCCACAAATCACCTTCAGTGATACAAGTAATGAAGTTTGGGCCCTTTTCTGGCAAGATGGCTCAGCAAGCAGAAGTCTGACTTGCAGGCTGGTGACCTAAGTTGTATCCATGGATTCTACCTGCAAGGTGACAAGAAAGGGCAGACTCATGAGAGCTTGCCTCCCCTTCACACATGATCAGTGGCACACGTGTGCTTGCGCTCACACACACCCTTGTCTAGGTGTCTAAGTCTCACCAAGTCGGCTACTCTGCACAGGCAATCCGAGAGCTCGTCAAAGATGGTGACCGTCTGTGGCCCTGGGGGCATGGAACACGCTCGCTCGACAAGCCACTCCGTCTTCCTCAAAGCCTCCTTCTGGGCAACATGGAATCCTTCAGGGGTGCTGAGCTCAGGAACTCCAAAAAGACCCTAAAAGTCCAAAACAACATTCCCAATTTATAGCCAAAAGTATAGTTTTGTTTTGTTTTTTCCCTAGAATGACTTCTGCACGAAGCCCTGATTTCAGTTGGCATATCTAGACTACCCACATCTGTGCTCACGGGAATAGTATCACTTTCTCTGTTATACTACACAAAACTACACTAAAAAAAATGAAATTTAAGTTTTCTTCAAGCCTTCCTTCCTTTTCAAAAGGAGGCAAATGGCATAGGTTCAGCTATCAGTGCTGGGGCCCCATGAGAAAATGGCTGGGAGGACTACATGAAGATTCAAAGGTTTAACAAAACTTACAACAATGCCTAGCACGAAAACAGCACATAACAAACTTTAATGATCATCATAATCAGCTTACAGCCTTGGTCATATGATCATTCCTCCCAGGCTTCTCTTACTGGAGATATTGAGGCTGGGAGTACACACCCCACAGCATGGAAACATACTAAAGCAATAAGCATGTGTGAAGTGAGGACCATGCCTCTCACAGAGCAAAGTCTCCACACACATGATACCAACCCGTCCACTACTATGAAATAGAGGACAGCCGACTCACAAGCAGACTTCACATACCAAGCCCAGTCACTGTCTGAAACTAACACATCTCGGTATTTTTTTCTTTTTTCTTTTTTGTTTGTTTGTTTCGGTATAGCTTTGGAGCCTGTTCTGAACTAGCTCTTGTAGACTAGGCTGGTCTCAACTCACAGAGATTAGAGATCTGCCTGCCTCTGCCTCCCAAGTGCGGGATTAAAGGCGTGTGCCACCACCACCCAGCTGCATTTCAGTATTTTAATAAAGAAAAAACAATCACTAATCTAATGGGAACAACCATTAAAACAAATCTTTATAAGGCAGGTCAAGCATGAATCTTAGCGCCCTCCAGGAAAGAAGGACATTTAATATGACATATGTCCAAGTATGCCATGTACTTTACACAGGTTCTCTCATCTAAATCACACAGTTCAATAACAAGGAGAAATATGATTTTAAGTTCTTTTTGGATTCTGGGACAGTGGCCTGGAACCTCAGTTCCTCCTGTCTAAGCACCAGAAATGCTAAGATTATATGTGGGTGCTACCACATTCACCCAGAAATATGCTATAAGAGAAGGCATTTAGGGTATAATGACACACAACTGAACTCTGGCGCTTAACAAATTCCAGGGCGGCCAGGGATATACAAGCAAGATCCTAGCCTCAAAAAACAAACAAAACGAGTGGTTCAGTGGATAAAGGCAGTTGTCACCAAGCATGATGGCCAAATGATATAATTTCATTCTCCCAGAAACAAATGATGCATGGGAAGAGCCTACTCTTGGAAGTCCCATTGCCTCCACATGTGCACATGGTATACTCATGTGTATACACACGAACACAGACACGCACGCACGCGCGCGCACACAAACACACACAATGCAGAATAAATGTAGTAAAAATACTTTTTAAAAAATTCTCCAACTTGAAAACCTTCTGTACCTAAATTCTACGCATAAAAACAATGCCACCAGGCAATGGTGGCGCATGCCTTTAATTCCAGCACTTGGGAGGAGAGGCAGGCAGATCTTTGTGAGTTCAAGGCCAGCCTGGCTTACAGACCCAGCGCCAGGACAGGCTCGAAAGCCACAGAAAAACCCTGTCTAAAAAAAGAAAAAAAACAAGGGAGAGTTGGTTCGGTGGATGAAGGGTGAAAGCCCTCAATTCACAAGCTGAGGACCTGAGTCCAACCCCCCAAACCCATGCAAGAAAGTGGTGCAGAGGCCGTCTATGTGGCTCAGTAGGTAAAAGTGCTTGCCTCCAAGCCTGGAACCTACACGGTGGAAACACAGGACTGACTCTTGAAAGCTGTCCCTGAACTCCACACACATACAGGCACCTATACACACAAACAAAAATGTAAATAGGACAATTGGGGAGGAAGGACTGGAGAGATGGCTCAGCGGTTAAGAGTACTTGCTGCTCTTGCAGAGGGCCTGGGCTCTATTCCCAGCATCCCCATGGCAGTTTGCAACCTGTCTATACTTCAGTTGCTGGGAATCCGACACCCTCTTCTTGCCTCCATGTGCACGCGTGTGGCACTGCACACATGTGGCACATAATTACAAACATTAGGGGAAAACACATAAAAAATAAACAACTTTAAAGTTGAATTTTGTGGCATGCAACTATAATCCCAGCACTCCTACTCCAAGACAGAAACAAGAAAATAGCCCAGAAGCAACTTTGTCTGGTTAAGCAATCAACTCCAAGGCACGGCAAGGGAATCTCATTTTCCGCGATAGGGTTCTGTTGTTGCTTTCTTTTTTAACACAGGTTCTCGGGTAACTCAGGCTAGTCTCAACTCGGTTTGGAGCCAAAAAGCACTGCCCTTTGAACCCTCTTGCGTATGCCGATCAAGAGTCTTACAAGCAGGAGCAGGCACCATGCCCGGTTTGACAGGGTTGTTTCAAAGCAGCTTGAAATGGACAATTAAGGTGTTTTCAACGGAAGAGTGTAGTTAGAAAGTCAAGAGTGAACTCTGAAGCCAGAAGGGAAAAAGCGAACTTGAGCAGGGAAAGGGCTGAGTGGGAAGCCAGTGGGACAGCAGCCCGGATGCACACGTTTCTCAGCACAGTCCCCTTTCGGCAACAGGCGGAGCCTGCACTGCCCAGACCCACGGCACGCTCACCCGGCGCTCTTCCAACAGGTGCCACAGGCGACCCTGGGGCTTGACGTTGAAGGCGGCGCCCACCGGGGACCAGCTGGTGCTGACTCCCCGGGCGTGACCCCCGCTGCGCAGGCCGCCTCGGCCTGCCGGTCTCCGCAGAGCCGCTCCGGCTCCCAGGCTGCACAGGCTGCGGCCGTACCGCAGCATCCCGGCCACCAGCAGCATCCTCCCGGACCCCGGGCTTTATCACGTTCAGGAAGCGCGCGCCCCGCGTTTCCAAGGCAGCGGCCCAAGCCGCGGCACGTGATGCTTGCACCGCCCCGTCGGCGCCGGGCGTAGGCTTGGATTTGAGCTCCTGACTCTCAAGCAAGAGCGTCGTCCTGACGCCTATCTGAGCAACCGGAGTTTCGTAGCGCCCTCGAGTGTCTGGAGGACGAAACGTGCCGAGTTTGCGTATCCCTCACTGTTTTTGGGGCACAGGGAGAAGTCTTGTTAGGCTTTGGATTTCTTACAGATGCCAGGAATGAATGTAGAAAAATTGGATGGTTTTGTGTGTGTTCGATTGGTTTGTAGCAGGATCTCGCTTTGTATTCCAGACTGGCCTGGAACTCGCCATGTATCCCAGTCTGATTTCAAACTGGCCATAATCCTGCCTCAGTATCCTGAAGCCTGGGACTCTAGACAGGAGCCACCAGCCCAGAAGAAGGATTTTTGTTATCAGGAACTTGATTTTTTTCTTGAGAGATTGTATCACAATAATTAAAAATCCAGAGACAGATATTGAGATGTAAGTTTTTTTGGGTTTTTTTTTTTTTTGGTTTTTTTTTTTTTTTTTTTTCGAGACAGGGTTTCTCTGTATTGTTTTGGAGGCTATCGGTCCAGCCCGGCCTCAAACTCACTGAGATCCGCCTGCCTCTGCCTCCCGAGTGCTGGGATTAAAGGCGTGCGCCACCACCGCCCGGCAAGAGGTAAGTTTTAAGCTGAAGATTCAGAGAAGCAAAGCAGCCAAGCCACTAGGTTCTCCCTCTACTAAGCTGAAATGGCAATCCTGTCTCCACAAACCCTCAGAGGCAAAAGTTCTCAGTTCCTGTCTCCTCCTCCTTCTATTCCTTTCTGTGCCCAGCCATATAACTCCCGTCTCTAACTCCCTAGTGCTGGGATTAAAGGCGTGAGCTTTGTTACTCTTTGCTCGTGTATAGACTAGGGTGGCCTTGAACTCAGAGAGATCCATCTGCCTGTCTCCTGAGTCCTGGGATTAAAGGTGTGTGCCACCACTGCCCAGCTTCTACAGCTAACTAGTGTGGCTAGCTGTTCTTTCTGATACTTCAGGAAACCTTTATTAAATCATAAATCATATATCACCACAAGAGATTGCTGTGGGGAGAGGTGGGGGGCAGTAGATAGAAAAGGGATTATGGGGTTGGAGGGATGGCTAGGAGGTTGACAGCACTAACTGTTCTTCCAGAGGACCTGGGTTCAATTCCCAGCACCCATATGGCAGTGCACAACTGTCTGGAACCCCCAAGATCTGACAACCTCACACAAACATACTCGCAGGCAAAACACCAGTACACATAAAATAAAAATAAATAAGTTATCAAAGACAGACAGGAAGGAAGGAAGGAAGGAAGGAAGGAAGGAAGGAAGGAAGGAAGGAAGGAAGAAAAGGGTATGGGTATCCCAGCCTTTGGGAGGTAGAGTTGGAAGACTAAAAAGTTCAAAATTCACACACACACACACACACACACACACACACACACAGGAAGTAAGAGTAGCTCACGGTGGTGGCAGCATGATGGGGTGGATAGGCAGCAGAGAAAGATGCATGCTGGCACTCAGTTCCCACTTCCTTCACTCCTTTTCGTCAGTCTGGAGTCCTAGCCTGCGGAATTGTACCACCCTCTTTCAGAGTAGCTCATTTCTGTCCAATTAAACCTTTCTGGAAAACCCTTCACAGTTGTGATGAGAGGTGTGCCTCCCAGGAGCTTCTAAATTCAGTCAAGTTGGCAACGACAGTTAACCATCACAGTTTGGAAGCCAGTTAGAGAAGCACTTGTGTTCCAATGAGCATATGAGCCGTGGATACATGTGGACAATTCACCATCACCACCAGGTACCCAGGTGGGCAGGAAGAGAGCCTACCTGAAACATATCCAAACTATTCTGCAGTAAGATCACATAAAGAACTGAAGTGTTGTGGCAAGTGATAATGAGGATATTGAGGATGTTAGGGGAGGGTCCACTGACCTATAGGACATAGGAAGGACATCAACTCTAGAGACCATTATGGAGAGAATTGTGTCTCCTTATAAGACATGTTAAAGCACTATTCTTTGGTACCTACAAATCTGACCTTATTTGAGTAGGGTCTTTACAGATGTAATCAGATTGGGATCATCCTGAATCCAATATGACTGGTGTCCTCTGTAGAAAAGGAAAATTTGGACATGTGCACTTGCAGAGGGAAACCTATGTGGAATTACAGGCAGAGACCCTGAAATCGTGTGTTTCAAGCCAAGGGACACAGCAGCTGCTAGAAGCTGGAAGTGGCAGGAAAGGACCTTCCTTCAGGGACTCAGTCTCAATGTTATTGACACATGGACCTTGAACTTCTGCTTCTGGAACTGTGACAAGGTACATCCCGATGTCTTAACTCACCCACCTTGGTTACGAGAGTCCTAGAAAGTTAATATAGATTTATCCCAACTATTCCTCGAGTTGGGTGGCATAGACACCTAAGTTAGAAAATAAAGTACCTATAGTTGTATTGAGTAACCTCCTGGGGTGTCTCACTGACACCTGCTTAAAGCAGTGAGTCATTAAATGGAATAAGTAGGTCTTCGGCAGTTCTGAAAGTGGAACCCATGCATACTATACAAATGCTATCCCCACTGAGACATAATCCCATCTCATTTTCTTTTACTTTCCCCTAATATCAGAGATTGTAATGTAGCCCTTAGAGCAGGAACGTGGCACCAGAATTCATCCAGAACTCTTCCCACCACAAACACACAAGCAAAGCCTTGAGTAAGGAAGCAGTGATGTGTTAAATACATTGTAACAAGCAGGCTGAGGACAGAGCTCTGTGGAGGGCACTTGCCTAGCATGCACAAACCCTAGGTTCCTTCTCTAGCAAGGAAAATGAATTACAATAAACCGGGACACTGTTTATTCTTTTACTCTTTCAGAAATTCTAAGCTGGGTGTGGTGGTGCTCATCTTTATTACCAACACTCATGAGGCAGAGGAAGGCAGGCAGATCTCTGAGTTCAAGGACAGCCTGGTCTACAGAACAAGTTCCAGGACAGCCAGGACTACATAAAGTACATAAAGAGACTGTCTTGAAAAATTCAGAGAGAGAGAGAGAGAGAGAGAGAGAGAGAGAGAGAGAGAGAGAGAGAGAGAGAGAGAGAGAGAGAGAGAGAGGTTCTAAGCTATATACAACTGTGGCAATGCATTATGATAAAAATATCCCTTACATTATTGCAGTGGTTTGAAGGAGCACTGCCCCCTTAGGCTCATATGTTTAAATACTTGGTCCCCCGTTGGTGGAACTGCTTGGGAAGGATTAGAAGGTGTGGCCTTGTTGGAGGGGGCATGTCACTGGGAGTGGGCTTTGAGGTTTCAAAAGCCCATTCTAGGTCCTCTCTTTCTCTCTCTGTCTCTGTCTCTGTCTCTGTCTCTCTCTGTCTCTCTCCCTCTGTCCCTCTCTCTCTCTCTCTCTCTCTCTCTCTCTCTCTCACACACACACACACACACACACACACTCGTTCCCTTTGTTATCAAGGAAGGTCAGTTGGGAGCAGATGGAATCAGCAACTTAATCCCTTGTAAACTCTGTTAAAGGTTCCTATAAATTATCCAATTACTTCCCCATATGATGTTTTTTGTGCTATTCAGTAAGAGAGAGTAAAGCCCTCTGCTGGGGACATAAAGCGACCTTCAGGCAGACACAGATTAAGACTCACACAGCAGACAGACAGGAGAACGGAAGACGAATAGAACACAACAGGGATGGCAGAAGAAACATAGACCATGACAGGGAGGAAAGAAGACACATGGAGGGATGGGGAAGTGGCTCAGAGGTTAAGAGCAGTGACTGCTCTTCCAGAGGTCCTGAGTTCAATTCCCAGCAACCACATGGTGGCTCACAGCCGTCTATAATGAGGTCTGGTGCCCTCTTCTGACATGCAGGCATGCATGCAGACAAAACACTGTATACATAGCAAGTAAATCGTTAAAAACAAAAAAGGAAGGGCTGGAGAGATGGCTCAGTGGTTAAGAGCACTGATTGCTCTTCCAGAGGACCCAGGCTCAATTCCCAGCACCCACATGGCAGCTAACATCTATCTGTAACTACAGGTCTGACACCCTCACACAGACAGACATACATGCCCAAAACCACCAATGCAAATAAAATAAAAACAAATAAACTTTCACTCTTATCTAAAAAACAAAAAAAGGAAGACACATAGAACATGACAGGGAGGATAAAAGAAACATAGAGCACAAAGCAGAGAACTCAAATCTGGACTCACCCCTCGTTACATGCAACCAAAGGGAAGCGCTTTGATCGCTTGCCTTAATGGGACACTGATGCATTGTTGGTGTCTCTGAGTTTATTACCAATGTGCTCAAATGACTGAACTGGTAGGATTAGCTTTCCACATCTACATTTTAGGATTGCTACACTAATTGGAGGAATGGATACAGTCACATCCCACCCTCCCTGGGCCAGTATCTACCAGCAGGGCCTTCTGTGAGGCCGTGTGCAACGTCCTTCGGGTCACAAGCTGCTGAAGAGAAGGAAGCCAGTGAATGTGGTGTCATCATCCTCGTCTGCAAACAAGCCGTTGAACCTCTCTCCTCCCGTCACCTGCATCCACACCTCATCCCCGAGCTTCAGCTCCAGCACAAGACCACCAGAGGCCTGGTCCTCAGAGCTCATGTAACCATCCTTGTTATGCAGGACTTTGACCCCATTTTTGACCAAAGAGACCTGCACGTTCCTGGAAAACACAGTGATGTGGAAGGTAAAGTAGTAGACACCAGCCACGTGGCAGGTGAACTTCCCCGTTGCTACGTTGTAATGGTTCAGTTCATTGTACAGGATCTTATCGAATTTAATGGGAGCATCAGGAGGAGGGAACTTGCTGATCACCGTGAGCCCCACTGTGAAAGCACTCTTAGGCAGGATGGGAGCCTCGCCCACTTTCCCTTTCTCTCCTCGATCGCCCTTCCAGCCTCTTATTCCTCTGACTCCTGGCTCCCCCTGGGGGCCCATGGGTCCGGCTTCTCCTTTAGGACCTGGTTTGCCAATGGGGCCCACAGG